CTCGAAAGACCTTGGACGGGGCTCTTATGTTTTTACATCTGTCACCCTTTGATGATATGTATTGTTTTGTAATGTGAAACTAAGATGTTAAAAATGATTTAGATGGTTTTGAAGAGTGTTTAGGGATTTTTATGAGTAAAAAATTTAAAGAATTGTACAATATCAGGTCTGAATTTTTGAATTATAGGTATGACCTTGGACGACTCTTGTTTTTTACATCTGTCCCTCTTTAATGACAGTTATAGTTTTATGGTATGGAACTAAGATGTAAAATATAGTTTAGATGAATTTTAAGAACATTCAAGGATTCTAACAAGTTCAAAATTTGAAGAATTGTACAATATCAGGTCTCAATTTACAAATTTTAGGTAAGACCTTGGATGAGCCTTATATTTTTTACACCTGTCCCTCTTTGATGATATGTATAGTTTTGTGTGTGGATCTAAGATGTAGAAATAAATTAGATGCATTTTAAGAAGGTTTAAGGATTTTAATTTGAAGAATTGTACAATATCAGGTCTGCAATGTATGAATTTTAAGTATAACCTTGGTTAGCCCATATGATTTTAACACCTATCCCCTTTTCACGATATATTTGGTTTAGTTGTGTGGAAATATGTATAACATAATTTACATTGGTTTTAAAGAAGCTTAATGTTTTAAACAAGTTCAAAATCTTGGCGTATTGTACTATATCAGATCTGAAATTAATGAATTTAAAGTATGACCTTGCTTGGCCCTTATATTTTTAACATCTATCCTTTTTTGATGATATACATGTATATGGTTTAGTAGTGTGGAGCTAATATGTAAATCATAATTAAGATGTGATTTAAAGAAGTTTAAGGTTTTAAAAAAGTTCAAATTTTGATGAATTGTACAATATCAGAGCTGATATTAATGAATTTTAGGTATTATGTTTTTTACATCTATCCTTTTTTGATGACATATATGCTTTAGTAGTGTTGAACTAAGATGTTAAACAAAATATAGACAGGTTTGAAAGAAGTTAAACAAGTTAAAACAAGTTAAAAAATTGAAGAATTGTACAATAACAGGTCTGGAATTTATTAATTTTAGGTATAACTCTGGATGGCCCTTATTCGTTTTTTACATACATCTCTGTATGATAGGTAAAACATAATTAAGATGGGTTTTAAAGAAGTTTAAGGTTTTGAACAAGTTCAATTTTTGACGAATTGTACAATATCAGAGCTGATATTATTGAATATTGGGTATTAAGATGAGCCTTATGTTCCTTACATCTATCCCTTTTTGATGACATATATGCTTTAGTAGTGTTGAACTAAGATGTTAAACATAATTTAGACAGGTTTTAAAGAAGCTAAAGGTTTAAACAAGTTAAAAAATTGAAGAATTGTACAATGACAGGTCTGGAATTTATTAATTTTAGGTATAACTATGGATGGCTCTTAATCGTTTTTTACATATATCTCTCTATGATAACATTATGGTTTTGTAGTATGAAACTAAGATGTAAAACATAATTTAGATGGGTTTTAAGGAGGTTTAAGGTTTTAAACCTGTTCAAAACTTGACAAATTGTACAATATCATATCTTCTGACATTAACAAATTTCATGTATGTATCTCTCAATGATGATATATATGGTTTAGTAGTATGGAACTAAGATGTAAAACATAATTTAGATGGGTTTTAAGGAAGTTTAGAGGCAGAATCAGATCTATGGGTGTGACAAAATTACAAGCAACATGTGCAATTCATGTACCAATCTATTCCTTACAATCCCAAAGACAATATTTCCAAAAAGATTCACGATTTGTTAAGTTTAAAGGCAGAATCAGATCTATGGGTGTGACAAAATTACAAGCAACATGTAGAATTCATGTACCAATCTATTCCTTACAATCTCAAATACAATATCTCCAAAAAGATTCACAATGTGTTAAAAATTGATGAAGTTATAATGGAATGGAATCAAAGACCAAAAATGGGTGAAAAATGTTTAAATTCTCCCAAAATAATAAAAATGGTAATCATTCTTATGAAAACAATACATTATTGTAGAAATCTTTAGTTTTCCTGAAATAAAGTGTGCACGTTGGGGATTATTACATTAGCCAGAAATATTCAAAAAGGTCCATGTGCAGTATGGCAACTGATTTAAGTCGGTCATATATTTCACCATGAGTACTTTCTGGGCATAAATTCAGTGTTTTTTATTAAAACAATATGTTTTCTTTCAAGAGAAGTCCCCATGATAGTAAAAATATGAATTGAACAATTCAAAAAATGATAAATAGGGACCCCATGTCAACAACCAAGGTTATACTTGAAATGTAGTGCTCATTGCAGACCTAATATTGTACAATGCGCCAAGATTTTGAACATGTGAAAATCCTTAAACCTTCTCAAAATCTATCTTAATTGTTTTTTACATCTTAGTTCCACACTACAGAACCATACATGTCATCAAAGAGGGACAGATGTAAACAATATATGGCTCACCAAAGGTCTTACCTGAAATTCGTAAATTCAGACCTGATATTATACAATTTTTCAAATTTTGAACTTGTTAAAGTCCTTAAACCTTCTTCAAATTCATCTAAATTATATTTTACATCTTAGTTGGTTACTATATACGTAAAACCATAAATATCATCAAAGAGGGACAGATATAAAAACATAAGGGTCATCCAAAGTCATACCTTAAATTCGTAAATTCAGACCTGATATTGTACAATTTTTCAAATTTTGGACCCCTTAAAATCCTTAAACGTTCTTCAACTCCATCTAAGTTATTTCTTACATATGAGTTTCACACTACAAAACCATACATATCATCAAAGAGGGACAGAGGTGAAAAATATATGGCTCACCAAAGGTCTTACCTGAAATTCGAAAATTCAGACCTGCTATTGTACAATTCTTCAAATTTTGAACTTGTTAAAATCCTTAAACCTTCTTAAAAACTATCTAAATTATTTTGTACATCTTAGTTCCACACTACAAAATCATAAATAACATCAAAAGGGGACAGATGTAAAAAATCTAAGGCTCATCCAAGGTCTTACCTAAAATTCGTAAATTCAGACCTGATATTGTACAATTCTTGGAATTTTGAACTTGTTTAATACATTAAACTTCCTTAAAACCCATTTTAATTATTTTTTACATCTTAGTTTCATACTTCAAAACCATATTTATCATCAAAGAGGGATAGATCTTGAAACCATAGGCATCAGCTATAGTCCTACACAAAATCACCCCTCTCAAAAATGTCAAATTTTTCAAAAAATCAACAATTTTTTTCTTGGCTCCTACTGATTCAATTAGTTTGAACCTTTTAGGGCTTATAGCCCTGCTACTGGGCACTTCATATGAAATTTTCCAATGTCTTCCAGTGTCTGATTAAAAAGTGAGGCTCTAAATAGTAAGAAAATGGGTCACGAATTTGCCCCCTGGCGTACATACTTTGTACTATTTTTCAAATTCTGTAGGAGTGATTGGCATTATTTATTTTGCAAATGATTCATATATATAATGTCTATGTATGTAACTTACAAACATCAAGATATCTAAAGTTATTGCAAATGAAAATATTATTTTCTGGGGGTGGGGTGTTTTTGGGGGGTGGGGGGCTAACCCCTGAAAAAAAAGAATTATGTACCACTCTGTGAAGATATCACCTAGGTAGAATTTTCATCGAAGACTTCTCTCTAACTGAAAATGCTGCCAAACCAACTATACTCCATTTATTAAGAATTTTCCTCCTCGCTCTTAGAGTATTTGGAATGAACATGTATAGTTTCCCTGTTGTTTGCGGTGCATGCAGGACAGACTTCACTACGTCACCCTGCAACTGGTCTACATCTATAGTAAAAGTTTCTCAAATTGTAAAAACAAATCAAAGTGTCTTACCTTACACACTATAAGAGATTAAAAGGGAACTAGGGTTATGGGTGCTTGACGACCTGGCATTTGCACCATCGATGTAAAATGGAAATGGAAAGCCTAATGATCAATGCTTCCCAAATATTTTTTTTATAATTTTCTATTCGTCTAAAGCATCATTTTTTATGACCGAATCGATTCATGTTCGATTAGAGTCGACCCCTTTCAATTTTACTCAAATTAAAAACAAAACGTATGAAAAAATCGAGAAAAATGATGGATTCGGATGTTTCATGTCGACAAGTGATGTACATCAAAAGGAAAATACTTGTAGTCCAAATTCATTTATGATTTTAAAGAGCAGTAGTGTAGCATGAGGATAGTCCTTGTTTTTTTGAAAATGTTGCATTCTAATGTGAATATCTAGGCATATTAATCAAGGACTTGAAATGTGAAAATCGTCACGTTTGAGACGGGCCCTAATTTCAATTTGAAATTCCACCTATTGTTCCTTGGAGTTTACTTCAATGCTTTGGGTGACGTGTGTATAAATGTATACAGATACATACTACATGTCTATTTGAAAAAATCATTTCAATGCTTTTTTGAATTTTTAACAAAATTTGTTTCACACTTTAGCCGTTTTCAGTGATAAATGCGTTACGGATACGGATCCTTGGAGCTAAAAAACGTTTTGCGAAACCTCTCTATTATCTCCGCAGGTTGCTATAAATGGGGGCTGTGTAACGAACGAGAGTATATCCTTCATAAGCATTGGGAAGAGCCTTTTCGGAGTGAGAGTCACTTTACCATAATTAAAATTTATAATTTTTCGAATTTATTTTACACATTTGCTCTTCAGCGTTAGTACCTTTCTACATTTTACTCCAAATCCCGTTCTGCTGTGGCTTGGATACGTTCCTAGGTCCTATGACATTTCGACTTGCTTGATTATTTTTATGATTTCATTAGTAATTCCCTTGTCTTGATCAGCTTCAGTTATCAGTAGATCCTTGTTATTTCCAAAGTCCATTTGCTTCGTTCACTTGCTCACTGTTCTATACCAAGATGAATATTAGTTAGTACATTAATAGTAACTTAGTAAATTTTGTATATTCACACAGATTCTCGATATATTTCAACGATTCGTGACTATCTCGTCACGTGCATAGGTGGTTCAATGGATCTCAAGATAGATGACAGGAGCAAAATTGCGACAATCGTGCTCAATCAACCAGAAAAAAAGAATGCACTCTCAGGTATGTTGCGTCACATGTCAAGCAGAAAAAATAATGCACCCAGAGGTATGATACGTCACATGTCATTCCCAAAAAAATAATGCACTCTCAGGTATGATTCGCCACATGTCAACCAGAAAAAAATGTAGCCTCGGGTATGATACGTCACATGTCAACAATAATTGAAAACTCAATGACTTTACTAAGAGAGAAAAGTTTATACCGCTTATCTAGTTGAAAGCCCATGGTTCAACTCACTCGTAAATAACTTGTTTTCAGGTAAAATGATGGTAGACTTACAAGAAATAGTATCTAAACTTGAAGGCTGGAACGAGGGTAAGGGCGTTTTGATGTACGGATCCAAAGGGTCATTCTGCTCAGGCGGGGATCTGGAAACTGTCGGAAAAATCCTGGATCCTGAACTAGGCATCCAAATGTGCAATTTTATGCAGCAAGTCACAACGAGGTTGTCTAATCTTCATTTGGTCAGTTTAGCTCTTGTGCAAGGCTATGCTTTAGGCGGAGGAGCGGAATTAGCCACTGCATGCGATTTCAGACTGATGACTGAAAATGCGTGTATAGGATTTACACATGTCAAATTGGGCGTATCCTCATCCTTTGGCGGAGCATCAAGATTAGTTAAATTGATTGGTCGAAAAAATGCTCTAGATTTACTTTTGTCGGGGCGTTTGATAGGAGCCACCGAAGCATTTAACTTAAAACTTAGTGATTGTACGCTCACGGAAAGTACAGCTACATTAAAGGCATACGAGTGGTTAGAACGAAGGACAAACAATCAATTGTAATTTTACAAAGACATCTTCATCATAAAATTCTCAAACAGAAAATAATTTGATCTTTTACTAAGCGACAAAGAATTGGAATAGACTGCCATCTTTAGTTCAAGTTGTTAACAGTGATGAATCTGTTTTCACGGTAACCGCCAATCACTTGTTATTGCCTTGGTCACATTTGCTCCGATTTTCTCTACGGCGAGCGGCCGATTGAGTATTTTGTTCAAAATTGAATACAATATCGAGCAAAACACTCAATCGGCCGGCCGCCGGCCGATGGATCGGAGCAAATGTGACCCAGGCATTAGTTATTTCAAAGTTCAATACAAATATCTTTTTCATATACAGTTGTGGATTTCCAATTGATTTATGCAATTGTTACATATTACATTAGGCAATGACTTAAATTCTAGGAATGATATAAAAACAACACATTTCATTTATTATATTCATTGTTTAATATAGGCCTATTGGGAATATCATATTTTACTTATGGTCGCAAAGGAGTTTATAAATGTTGTTTTTACTAATGGGCAATTTACCTCCTGAACACCTCCACCTAATTCAAGAAAAATATTTTAGCAGAGTTGGAAACTCGAACCAGATTTATATGAAACTTCATATCAATTTTTCAAACATGAAATTTCAAAATCTAGTAGAAGTTTATGTTTTGCACGCAAAGGCCAAACTTTATTAGGAGGTCACCATGTTCCAAATGAACAAAAAACACAATTGTATTCTTGAATTGCAATCTGTTTGACACGATATGTATATTAATAGAAAGCCTATATTTACGATATGTTTAGTTTAGTGTGAAAATATAAAGCCTAATATTCTTTAGTTCAAAGAATTTGTTTATAGAGATGTTCATAGTCAAAACTATTAGTTTGGAAAAGTCTCAATCAAAGGTTAAAAGAAATTTGATAATTATTCGTAAGTACTTTCAAACCGAGAATTTCATAATTTAAGCCCCAGCACCGCCTATTTTTATGCGAGGGGAACAAACAACATTCTTAGCCGAACTTATATATTCACGAATGGGTTTAAATTGATAATGCTTCTAGCTTTTATACCTTAGATTATATAGAAGTAATTGTCACTTGTCATATGTACACTTTTAACAAATAATATCAACATATCTCAACTAATTTATATGGCCAATTCGAATGATTGTAAATTGTGTGGTGTTAATTTCATTATGTTGGTCTGAGGCACGAATTCTGTTAGAATATATTGTTCTGTATTTTTACTTGTCGTTTTATAAATATTAATACTGCTGAATATGATGATTTCAAAAAAGTTTTTTCTCTTGAAATGTATAAAGTAGCTGTCACATTAGGCCGTATGGGCCGTATTAGGCCGTATGTTCGCCACCGTGTGAATAATTTTGGGCATTAACTTTTTAATTAATTTTTGTTCTTGGTGTGAGAAAGGGAATATCTTGCTATGAATCTATATGTTTTGCCGATCGTGTATCCATGCCATACCACGTCGTCTGCCCCAAAGTATTCATATGGTGGCGAACGGTGAGTCAAAACGGCATAATCAGACAGCTCCATAGGTTTTATATTATCACACTGCACAAAATAAAACATACATGTATATCATGACATCTATGAATAACTGTTTTCTATATTTGACATTCTTTTAAAACAAAGTGACAGCCTTGAATAAGTCGGTCGGTTAAAGGTGAAAATCTACAATTTCCCCCAATTTTGAAAGTCTATATAAGTTCATCAAGAATGGTTGAGTCTTAAAATCCTTTAAAATCTTTTTATACAAAGTTTTGCTTAAAAAAAACATTGCCACAGTTATGATATTAAAACAGATCACCTAATTAATAAATAAAAGCAGAATTACGAGTATGGTCCTCTGTGAACGTCCCCATTAATTCCACCAGACTAATACACTAAATCGGAGGCTAGTCTTGATGATTTTGTAGACAATTGCAACGAAAGAGATATACACTCACTTTGACCGATGAATAGATTATTAGCATACACTCCCCTCCAAAAGTTTGCCAACCTAAGCTCCCTCATTGAACTACGTATTAAAGCCTCTTTATGTTTGAATTTTTATTTACATAACCAGCGAGGAAAATACATATAATATTGATGGAAATGAGACTTGACTTGACTCCAAAGGAGTGGTATCGATATGGTCAACTTTTTAACACACATTAAAAATCTAAAAATTTAGCACATCGTCAATTTAATGGTCATCTTTTGAATGGTAACAATATAATTTGAAAAATATACATACTTTCATCTATATTGTTTTAGAAAACACACCAACCACTTGTTTTGTTCTTGGTATTATGTTTCCAGAGTGAAATGAAATATCTTTTCGAACCTCATTGGAACAAAACGACAAAAACACAACACGTTTAGGTCTCTCAATATTGTAATTAAACAAAGGAAATTCTGGTTGATTTTAAAAAAGTATCTTTATAATGAAATAAAAGGTTTATCTTGATTTTTATCTATTTTGGGGGGATTTTGTTTTACATTTTTGAATACTTTTTTAAAATCAACCCAAAATTCCTTTGTATAACTATAATATTGAGAGGTCTAAAAACATGTTGTATATGCTATTTTGTTCCAACAGGGTTCGGAAAGACATTTTATTTCATTCTCAAGAATTGGTAGAAAGGAGCAAAAACAATTGTACTAAAAAACCCAAAATTTTAACAAAAACAGTTATATAAAATATTTCTAAATTGTTGCCAATCAGTCAACATTACAAAAAGGACTGTGTTTTTTACAGAATGTTTTCAATAATTGCTTTAAGAGAAAAACATTGTTGAATTCAGCTCACCATATCGATACGTATCCTTTTCCCAATTGTTTCATCAATTACGATAGGTCGAAACTTGATAATACATTTTCTGAAAATCGTCATTCCCATGTAAACCAATGGGAAATGGTTGGTTTCGGGGCAAATCTGATTTCAGGATATTTTTTTTTACAAAATTGAATTAAGTGTTCAGTTTACTTTATGACTACTAACCCTACTATCACACCAAACTAGTTCTCGCTACGTTTTCGAAAACGGGCTTCAACTGTGTACGAACGGACTGGACCTACTAAGAACCGTTTGGGATCTATTTACAAACTTTATCGAACGTACTCGAACGGGTAGGTCCTCTAGAACTTAGACAATGCTCAAAATGTTCTCGTGATCGTCACGTTCTACAATTAGAACGAGTGATCAACGTACTAACGACGAGCTGGACGTGGTACGAACGGAACCGTCGTACGTCAATCATACTAGGGACGTTTTAACACGAGTTGAACTGTCTGGGGACGTGTTGAGGACGAGGTAGAACTAATTGCAAACGGGTTTAAACTGATTAAGAACGTATTTAACACTACTTATGAACGAGTTAGCAAAAATATAGCTATCACACCAAACAAGTTGCCACTGCGTTCTTCAAAACTGGTTTTAAACTGTGTGCGAACGGAATGAACGTAGCTGCAACTTTCTAAGGTCTATTTACGAACTTTACGAACGTTCTCAGACGGGAATGTGATTTTAGAATTTTGAATCGATTCAAAATTCGATGGCGACCATACCGTTCTGTAATCAGGTCATGTTGACCTTCTAGACTAAGGGACGCGTTCTACGACGTTGCACACCGACGTGGTGCGACCTGAACGAACTGCGAACGAGATGGACGTATTGAAGACTGTTTATGAACAAAGAAGCTAATTATTTCAGACATATTTCCCGACCACAGCCAGATTGAGCCCGTTTTACGACGTTTCCGTAGGACTGGCAAGAACGGGTAAGAACTAGTTTGGTGTGATAGGGGGGTTAAGTTGCAGAGCTTCAAGTCATTCTTGAAAATCATTTTTTGCCTCCTGTGTTATTTCAACGGAGGGGGGGGGTGAAAAATAATTTTGACTTTGAAGACCTATAACTTTTTTAAACCTGAAGAAACGTATCAATTTTTTTATAAAATAAAGTTAGCATATTCAATCGACTAACTAACTTGTATTTTTTGCAAGAACTCGAGTGGATGATGAATATTCTGTCATACTGTCATATGACTTGCTGCGGCAAACCTACCATTTCCCATTGGTTTACAAGGGAATGTCGATTTTCAAAACTTCATCAGATGTATCATCAATTTCCGACCTATTGTATTTGAGTAAAAACTTTGGAGGCATTGGAAATGAAGTCAAGTTATATTTCCGTCAACTTATGCAGATTAATATGTATTTTTCTCGCAGGCTATGTAAATGAAAATTCAAACATAAAGAGGCATCAACACGTAGTTCAACGAGGGAGCTAAGGTTGCCAAACTTTTGGAGGGGAGTATACCTCTAAACACCTGTAGAGCAAAGTATGTGTTGTAGCTCAAAATCTACCGCCAGTGTACTAATGATAGCACGCCATGTTTCTACCACTGCGCATCGGTACGGTTTATTTATATCCCCCTGATAGATTATCCACGTAAGTTACCTATAAGCTGCAACTTTCTGTTATCGTAAATGTATTCCTGGTTTCTAAACTCAGAGGAGCTTGTATTGGCAGTTTGAACAATCTCAAGGATTTGGATGGAAAGGAATGATGATTATCAAATAGGCATTATTTGCAACTGAGTTAAAAATATGGATGACGTTCCGACAAGGTAGGTTAACGAACCTGTATACCATAAAGCAAGTACATTAAACTATATACATGTATTTACATGCTATTTATATTCTACGCATCTGTATACCTATTAGGAACACTTGAGCCGTTTGCAATGTGCATCATTCTATCAAAATTAGTGCGAATAGTCATTATTTAAGCATTGCTTATTTGCATTTTGTTGCACTTTTTATTTTTTAGATTTCTGTCGACTCTTGCAACAGACGACGTTGATTCGTTGAATGATTTCATCTCTGATAATCCCGAGCTATCCTCTCACGAACTTCACCAATTTGCAATACTCACCATTCTATCAAATTGTGTCAACAGCTTTAAGCTGTTCGTGAGACTCTTGGATGAACCGAGTCTATCAATGACAAGTGAAAGGCACTCGGAGCCCCTCCTGCACACGACAGTCTTGCACCAAAGGCAAAATATGGCAAAGTTCCTCTTAGAGAATGGATACGATGTTAACTCAATTAATGATGCAAAGGAAACTCCCCTCATGATAGCGTCAAGAATTGGGTGTTTGGATCTGATTACTATGTTACTCAGGGAAGACCCAGATGTTGCAGTCCGAGACCAGAAAGGACGAGCTGTGTTCCATCTTTTAGCAAGATCTGGATCTGTTGGTTGCATGGCGGAGATGCTAAAGCACGTGACTCCAAATCTACATGTTATGGGATCATTAATTAATTCCAGAGTAGGTGGAGCTCTAATATTTTCAGTGTATATATCAAATAACATCTTATAAAATGATCCAAAATAAAATAAATAAATCTGATATCAAATAACATATTATCTTATTGAAATCGCGAAGAACACAATTTGGAGTGACTAAATGTTACTGTAACCGATTATTTAATCATTTGTAGGATATAGATGGCATGACGGTACTTATGTATGCTTCCATAGACGGTCATGTTGAGATGGTGAGCCAACTAGTTGATGTGGGTGCTGATGTGAACATTGTGGATGATAGAAACAAAACAGCATGCCACTGGGCCGCCAGAAGGGGGCACAAAGCCTGTGTTGAAATGCTACTATCACATGGGGCTGATATTACTGCAAGAGATTGTGACAAACGTACCCCCTTAGTCCTAGCAGTAGAAAGAGGGCATCGTGTTGTTTTAAATTATACACTTACAAAATACGAAGAAATGTTTTTTAAATCATCCAAGGCCAAACCGAAATTAAAGAAGGACTTGTATGAAGGACTACCGTATAGGCAACAGTTTGATCTGAAAATGGCTCTGATAGCATCAGTTGCTGAAGGCCACGCAGCTTGCACTGAATTACTTCTTGATGTTGGAACTCCTGTAGATTGTAGCGCCACGTCAACCTCTGATGGTAACTTTGTTCCTATATCTCTAGATGAACACAAAGTAGGGGCAAGCAATGTTATGAAAGAATTGAGCTTCACGTCAGACTCTACGTGGCAATGTAGAAGCCTTCACATTGCTTCTGCTAGAACAAACCATATATGTTGCAAATTATTACTAGACAGAGGCGCTGATCCCAATCAGGTTGACTCGGATGGTAATACGCCACTGGTTTATGCAGTTGGTAAAGGTGATCTTGAAATAGTTAAAGAATTACTTAGCCATAATGCAGACCCTGATATCAATGGTAATGTATGTGGGATTACATGCTCACCATTTGACGTAGCAGCAACGTATGGCAGCATGAAGATCATGCTTTGTTTGGCGGTATCCGGGGCGAAGATTAATGTGTCTGCTGATTGGATGAATAGTAAAGGAAGTGACGCATGTGATCATGTACACCATCACGCATTATATGCAGGAAAGATATCTTGGCTATGTGACTTCGTATGTCATCCGAAGCCATTACAAGAACACTGCAGATATACTTTGAGGAAGTTGCTGGGCAATAATATTCATGGGAAGATTAAATCATTATCTCTGCCAAGAACACTGAAAGATATTTTGAGCATTAAAGAATTAAACGATATCAACTAAGAATTGTGTTGAAGTACATTGACAAGCTTAGTTTCATAAATTCATCTTCAGTATAGAGTGGGAACTGAAGATCATGTAATTATCCGATGGCAAAGCTGACCAACATTTGTCCAAACGAGAGCTGGGACTTAAGTTTTTCGTCGACGCCTTCTCTGAAGATCTTTTGTACTCAGGATATCAAATCAGTTTAGAATTGTGCCATTTCACCATGTTTCAACTTGCTAGGCTCGAATCCGAAGTCAAATAAGAATCTGAAATACAAAAATGAGCTGTTGACCTGTCTAGTTACATAACGTGTATCATGAAAGTTGTATCGCAGTCCTCAGGTGACAATGCTACATTTTCAGAATAATATGGCTTTTCGATCGTGACTGTATTTGTGCAATTGATAAGACACTCACCTTTAACCTGTCATAACATCATCGTTTTGTCAAGAGGCCAATTATGTTTAAAGCCACAAATTTATTTATCATGTCATTGTTGAGATTATGCAGGCAAAAACTGATCGCTAAAAAGAGAAATTCTGCGACATTTCATGTGAATGAGACCTAGAAAGCGACATGTCAACATGATTCGGCGTTTTCCCTCAACTATTGTGCATACATTTAACTACATTTGGAACATTATATGAGCACGTCGTTATCTTGTATATTATAGTTGTCAAATCAAAGTGTTTGAATCGTTCACTAATCGACAAGAAATAAATAAATAATTTTCAAATTACGAACAATTGCTAAATTAGTAAAAACCGATTACTGTAGTTTGACTTCCATTGTCGTTTTTCAAAATTATTGTGACACGTTTAATGCATCAATTAGTATCTTCTCTAGGTATAGCATCTGTAAGAGCTTTCAATTTTTGTGGAAGAATGTTATGTCAGATGGCACAATCATATGTATGACATGTCTGCTTAAGATAATTATGTTTTTGTTCATTGTAGATCGGATATGTTTGCTGTAAAATGTTTCATAACCCGATGTAGGCGGGGTTGATTCACTTACCACCATAAATAATGCAATGCAATTATGTACTTTTTAAAACGTTTGTCCAAAGTCTCCTAAATTATTGAGGTGATACGGTTTTGCATATATACACCATGTGGTTATAGTTGAATTATTTTGTGTTCGATACATTATGTTACCATAACATAACCTTATCAACTCTCGGTCGAAATGTGGGGATTTTGAAATTTTATTTGTTTACCCTCACACTTTAGATTTGAAGTTTATAATGACGAAGCATGCTCTACATTAGCAAGAGAGTGGATTTGATAATACTAAACCCACATTGGCGAGCTGATAACAATAAGATTCAATCGTACGACGTTATAAAATTTCACAATATAGAAAAGGAATGGATTGAATCGGTACAGATACTCAATAACGAACACAGTAATACACATTGTCAATCAATTAGAATAATTTTTATTGAACTTTACAAATAATATAGGATTACCGGAACAATGAAATTGGATGATATATTTAATAAAATCGGGGACACGAGTGTCGCACAAGTAGCAACGTTTATTTTACTCGGACTCGTAGCTATTTCAACAGGATGGCAAAACGTTGCAATAAATTACATCCATGGCGACATGAAACACCATTGTTATGTACCTCAATTAGAAGAATACACCTTTCAAAGACAGGAATATATCGCGATCCCAAGGACAATGGGAAATGATGGAAACTGGGTCTATGACAGTTGTAAAATGTTTGACTTGGATTGGTCAAACTTTACAAAAGATCAATTTGATTCTTGGGATAGAGATTCCTTTGATTCAGCAAATGCCGCAACACGTTCTTGTTCGAGTTGGTCCTACGATCAGAGTCAGTTTCACTCTACTGCTATCAGTAAGGTGAGATAATTGAAAGCCAACCTAATGTTAATTATGATTGCCCATCTTCTCGAGTAAAATGTCCATATACCAATTTTGCAAATAAACCAATGTTATTTCGATCCCGCTTTGATCGATACTACAGTTCGAGAAAACTAGATAAAATAATAAAATCTTTAATTAAAATCATAGTTTGATGGTCAAAATTTGTAAAACAAATGTCAACTGTTTTTGAAACCGATGTTTTTCAAAAACATATAGCAAAGGAAAAAAGTTTCTACCTTTAATTAATAAATCAATTCATTAATATAATGTGTAAACTGTTTTTTATGATGTCACACAAAATTAGAATATTTTTTAAGATGTAGTTCATTAACTCTGAGCCTCCAAGCAGCATATGTTTCAACAATGCTCTGTTACTGACCTTTATTTTTAGGATATCGTATCAGAAAATTTCAACCAAACACAATGTTATCGATGTATTAAATTAACCATTGTCCAAAGTTCAATCTACAGTACAATGTAAAGCTACATTTACAGTTTACAGGTACATATCTAAATTATCGGAATGAATTCAAAATCATAGCAAATACTGATAAGGGGTACGTATCTATCATCAGATGCGATAAGAGAAACTATGATACTGTCATAGCTAAAAATACTCTACCTTCGATGACAAGCGGTATAACATTTTTAAGAGACCTAAACTTTACAGGGTGTCAAATAAGTCCCGTCCCCGTCTCTGCAGCCCAAACCAAAATAATATGGTACCGAGTGTGATATATAATTGGAAGGATCATCCAAAGTTACGTTGATTTCCATAAATCTGTATGTCACAAATTGCTACATTATATCACTTGAAGTGAGAATGAACCTCGCAATTTGGCATTTAGATGGGCAACGGTTTTTGGTGAGACTTCATTGTAAGAAGTGGAATGTGAAAATTTTAACTTTTGATATATTGCTGAGTATTCACGCTTCATATTTTGACGCAATAAAAGCTGCTTGAGGATGACATACTAACTAATTACGACATCATGAAAACATTGAGAAACATCGAAAATACTTGATGAATGGAGACAATTTAACTTTTGATGATCTTTCCACTGGTATATTGCACTAAGATCACCTGTAAAGGTTTTATCTGTAGCGGAGTGCGGGACATATTAGACACCCTGTATAACTTTAACATAAAGTTCCATTTCTGTTTTTGACAACTTTGGACAGAACACCTGGAAATTTTCACTTCCTTTTTGTGTTTTGAAATGATGCGTTACCAATATGGTATTCACAAGCAAACATAAATGAGTATCTCAGAATATAAGCTTATGTTTGTTGATAACGAAACGCTTTAATTCAAAGTTATTGCAAATTGCAAATATTTATTGTCCATCAACAGTGTGCACGATTTGTTTATTTTAGTATGATTTAGTATGCGACAACGCCGATAAAAAGAGCCTCCTTGAAACATTATATATAGCTGGGCTGTTAGTTGGCTTACTGGTATTTGGTCAAATTGCTGACAGGTAAGAGAAAATTAAAACCACTCTGCCCTAAAAGTGCATGCTAAAGTATGTAAATCAAAACATTCATCGTTTTTGGCTCACATGGTGAGCTATTGCAATCACGTACTTGTCCGTCTGTCTGTCCGTCTGTCTGTCCGTCTCTCTGTCAACAATTGGCCCGTTTTAAAAGCTCTGTTAATAGGATTCCTGTCTTTAGTTATTTTTGTTCAACATCAATACAGAAAACTCCCCTATGACTCCTGGTTCAAAAGCTCGCCTATTTTCAAAATGGTCGCCATTTTTGTCTCGCGAAATTCACTTTTTGCCCATTTCCTTGCTTTACAAATAATTTCAGGTGTCCTGCATTGTAAAAAGCCATGTCGCCGTAGAGTAGTTGTATGAAATAATTTTGTTACAAATATCGGCAAAAGATTTTGTCTATTTTTTTTATTATCTGCCATTTTAGCCATCATTCACTTTTGAGCAACACCATGTGCGCCCAGTACCCACGGTACTATTTCTATTTTTATTAATTCACGTAGCAGGTACACTGATAATTCACGACATTTGAGAAAATGAAGTAGAAATATCACGGGATGTGCCGAGATCTCCAGACTTTGTAATCTTGTATTAATTAGTAGCAATACGCCTATTTTTGTATTTTGATTGTACTAGTGATATGTTCATCTCTTTCTTGTAGTATCGGGCGTAAGCCAGTCCTTCTAGTGGCAATTCTGGTTGAAGTAGCATTTGGAGTGGGGGCTGCTTTTGCCTCCGACTATGTGGCCTTTGTCGTCGTTAGGTTTTTCTTTGGGATGGCCGTTGGGGCCAAGTTCATCATCGCTTTTGTTATGGGTAAGAATGTTGTTAATTTGTTGGTCAGTTACCACGTGACAGAACCAAGCACCAGTTGGTATCATCGTTCACTACTCCATAGGGCTTAACATGTGCTTTATTTGGCTTTCCCTGCAGACTTTGCAGATTAATATATCCCTCTTAAATCCATTCCAGTTGTTGAACACGTTGGTCCTGCGTATCGTACTGTATTTGGAGTCTTGATGAACGCATGGATGACTGTTGGAATGATGTCACTTCCGGGAATAGCATACCAAGTTCGGAATGTGCAAACTCTTCAAATGATACTCGCAGCACCTCCAGCAATTTTTCTCACATACTTTTTGTAAGTGCTTTTTGAATTATCACAAAATGGGCTTGAATAAACACAATGGGTTTACATTATAAACATAAAGAAATATCACATTCTGATTCTAACCTCGGTGTTTTAACATTTATCCAAAGAAAATATGGCATAAATGTAAGACCTGACCAACTATTTTTGCAGTTTGATCTCAGAAACGCCAAGGTGGCTTGTAACACGGGGGCGCTTAGAACAAGCCACGGCGTTATTTCACAACATGGCCAAAGTTAATAAGGCGGATCTACCTGAGGACCTAGAACTCATGGAGAATGTAAGTGTTTCTCTTATCAATACACTTACCTTGTCCGATTAAGAATAATTGTGTAGTTAAAGGATTGATTTACTTAAAGATGTCTCCATGTATTACCTTTAAATACAAATGCGAGTCGTATATTATTTTGCCAAATATTTTTGTTAATTTTATGAGACTGATGGTAATTCGTTCACAATATTTTCACGTGTTTTCCAATGCCCTATGAAAAGACGAGAACCTGAGCAGATAAATTATTTTGGGTTTAATTTTTGGATGAAAATATTTGCAAAATAAGTAAAATATACATGTCACAGAAGTGAGTCATAATAGGTGAATTTTCAAAAATGTATTTATTCGTTTTAAATTATTAGTCTGTAGAGGACCCTGACGAAAGGAGAATAAATCTTGCGGATATGTTACGGACACCAAATCTCCGAAAGCGTCTCTTAATATTCTGGATAATCTGGTAAGATACAATAAAGCTGTCCATCGATAAAGCGCATTTCGGTCACCTAATATCAATATTCGAACTAATGGATAAGTTGTATCCCGTACATCCCAAAGTGCAGAATTAAATCTGAATCTTGAAGTAAAAACTTCAAAAAAAATGATGTCAACAATAATATTAAAACTATGAAAAATATGATTGCCTAGCTACGTTCATTTGTGTTCCTTTCTTTTTTTTCAGGTTGTTGTCTGGACTTGTTTACATGGGATTCACCAATAAAATCAAAGTAGGAAATAATGATTATTTTAATGATTTCATCTCTGGTTTAACTGAGCTACTGGCCTACCCTGTCAGCATACTTCTCATCTCAAGCATCGGTAGAAAGCTGGGGAGTTTCTCTATGGCAGCGATGGCAGCGGTTCTAAGTTTCATCTGTATACCTTTGATACTCACATCCAATAGTGAGTATTAACATGTTTATTTCCTTTTGATACTCACATCCAATAGTGAGTAGTAACATGTTTGTCTTCCTGTGATATTCACATCCAATAGTGAGTAATTACGTGTTGTTTGTGTCCCTTTGATCCTATGGTGAGTATTAACATGTATGTTTTCCTGTGATACTCACATCCAATGGTGAGTAATTACGTGTTGTTTGTGTCCCTTTGATCCTATGGTGAGTATTAACATGTTTGTTTTCCTGTGATACTCACATCCAATAGTGAATAGAATATGTTTATGTACATTTATACTCATAGCGAAGTAGTGCGTATTCTCAAAACCATACCGTTCCGTGGAAATACCTATTTCGTATTGATTATACTATTCTTTTACAGAATATATTCAGCCCTCTCATTTGGATAGATTTAATCAAAGTATTTAGGTTTTAGTCTCAGCCTAATGCAAATATTTATAATTTAGAAACTTTCAAACAAAAGGTGATCGGCTCTGAGACAAAGCATCGTAGTTTGATTTCTGATTTCCAAGAATAAATTATCTTTAAACAATAAGCCTTGGAACACTGTTATTAAAATCAATTATTTATTTTTTTAGCAATGCAAGGAGGATTAACAGCAGTCACATTGTTCGGTAAATTATGCGCCACCTCCATGCTTGCTTCCATCTCTATGTGGACCGTGGACACTTTCCCAACCGTCGCAAGGGCTGGCGTTGCCTGTGCCTCTGCTATGTTCGCTTTTGCAGGTGGACTCATTGCACCACAGATCAATAGACTGGTACAAATACTTGTAGTTTATATAGATTGATACACAGAGTGTGCTAAATGGTTAATTATGATCTAAGCTTGTTTTTTTCATTACGCATTATACAAGTAAAATACAAAATAGAAGTGTTTGAAAATCTTAAACGACTGATGTTTTCATGATTTCGTTAGGAATCCACTTGGAGTGGTCTACCGTCCATCATATACGCTGTACTGGCCCTGCTGGTAGCTGTCATAACACTCGCACTTCCGGAGACTATGGACTTAAATCTTCCCGATACCCTAAACGACGGGGAGTGGCTTGGCAGGTAATGCTCCTTTCAAATAACATACGAAATACCATCAAGAATATAATTTTCAATATAAATTTATTTAAAATAATCATGCAAAATTGTACATTGACATAAATTGTTGCTTGGCGCAATGTGAATAAACTTGGAGAATATGCATGACTAAGAGATGAAGCACTTTTCCTTGAAATTGACGTTTTTTTTGTTCATAAAAACGTTGCATCCGACTCTTATTTTGCAGTCAACCATACAACGAAGAATCCAAAAAGCCAGCTTTGAACTATTACAATTCTGTTAAACTGTCACAATCAGCCTTGGCGTACGACAACAAATCATTTGAAATGGATAAAGATGTTCCACATAAACTCGTTGAAAACAATGGAAACGTCCCTATGGTTGAAGTCACTTCGAATGCAGGGTCCAATGACATCAGGAAACGATCAACGGACAATGTTACTACTCTATAGACTTCTAAGGAAAAACATTCCTAAAGATTTCAGTCAAATTAAAAAAGTAAATGATTAAATAAATACTAAAAACTATGACTTCGACTATGATTGGCTACATTCTTAACTCATCAAATCGTGATCTTAATGGGTATTTTTGAAACGTTTGGTTTATCACTTTTTAAGAAAATGCATTTACATTGAAAATATGTATGCACAGAATGGACGACCTCTTGCGTGAAGGTGCTCCATAACTTTGATCCTTCAAGAAATGTTTTGGCCGCAAGGCCGTTCTTCAGTTAGACCGAGTGATAATGTACTTAAAACGAGATGGGTCTACTAAGGACGGAATTGCCGTCCTTCAATACTAAAAGAGACGGGTTAATACACATTGGAACGAAATAGACCTAGTTAAAGAGGTTTTAAATGACTTAACGGACTGACTTGAACTGCTTGGAAACGTTGTCTGTATACTGTGAAGACTGTTACAACATACATAGAGCATAAAACTGTTGCACCAAACTAACTGTCACAACATGATGTTCTTAATTAAATATATTGCCAAACGGGCTTACTCCACGGGAGCTAAATTTAAACATGTACTAAAATAATTACCTAATTCGTCCATGAACAGTCTTCAATACGTCCATCTCATTCCCAGTTCGTTCAGGTCGAACAAAGTCACAGTGTGCACACATACCGCAGTATTTACGTTCGTAGTCTAGTAGGTCATCTCGTTTGAAATATGTTGTCACACGATCTAATTACAGAACGGTATGGTCGCAATGGGATTTTGAAATGGTTCAAAATCTAAATCACCTTCTACACAATGTATCCAAGCAGTTCAATTACGTCTTTAATCAGTTTAAAACCGCTGGCAATTAGTTCTTCCTCGTTCTGAATATGTCCCTAGTAGGATTGAACAACGACAATTCCGTTCGTTATACGTCCAGCCCATATTAGTACGTTGTCACTCGTTGAAAAACGACAGTTCCGTTCGTAGTGCGTCTAGCTCATCTTAAGTACGTTGCCACTCGTTCTGATTGCAGAACGTGAAGACGCTTCGCGTTCTAGAGGACCTATATGTACACCTTCGAGTACGTTCATGACGTTTGTAAACAGACCCCAACCAGTTCTAAGTACATTTAATCCGTTCATACACAGTTTTAAGCCAGTTTTCGAGAACGTAGTGAGAACTAGTTTGGTGTGACAGTAGGGTTAAACGTACGCGCGAAATTGATTCACTTTTATTTCCAATTTCTCTTTGGATTCGACTCTAAATGCTTCCTAATAATCTTCAAATGATTACTATTGGCCCGGGGTTTACTGGAAACGTTTTCATAATAACACTCATGTTATCAAAGTTTTCTGACTCAAATATTCATTTCCTGTTGTGTTCTGCTGAAATACACCTAGGTGTCCACTCCAATCTTCTTTGCAATCGTTTTTGGCAAAAAATGTTTTAAAAGCAATGTTTGATGTATAGTTTTTATGATGATTTCAACACCAGACCGAATTTCGTTGTTCACAAGGTGCAGAATGACTGTAAATCCAGGTGTTCCCATCTAATAATCAGAAAAATATGGTTTTATAAAATTGGACAAGACGAAATGAAAAAGAATTGTTTCAATTCAATCCGCTAGGTGTTTCCACGTCGACTAAAAGAATTTGAAAAATCTCATAAATGGGACACCTTGTATAGAATTAGGAGTTTTAAACGATTTTTCAGTTCAGCTGACTGATAAACATGGTCACATCCAAACATTTTGATAAAATAGGAATAAGGAAAGAGATGTTGAGGTAAACATCGCCACTCTGATTGCAAAAAATTAAAATTACGGGATTCTCCCATCTGCATATCATTTGACGTTGTGGGTATTTCAACACAGACTAGCGAAAAACGCAATCGTCACTTCAATTGTATTTCCCTGTTTATTCTACTTGTATTTAGTATTAACCCTGATTATTACCACCTTACCGGGCCTGTTCTAGGGGTATTAGTGCTAGTTTAGAAGGCATTTATTTTACTATATCGACTTGAGCAGTATGTGACGTCATAGTGGCGGGCCATATTGCCGGTCAATAATGCAATTAACGACCGGCAATTTCCCCCGGGAAATAGATATCGTTCAGTGCGTAAGATTTTCTTGCTATTTCAGCCCTGGTCATAAACGGTGGTTATAATACTACTAATAACGTCATTTCTGCGGGCAATATTGTGAAATTTTGGACCGAGGGCCCTCGGTCCAATATTTCACTTTATTATGCACCTCATTAAAATACTCAAATCTGATTGGTTCTTAGTTGCTTGTAATTTGGCAATACTCTGCTTTTTTTCTGAAAACTGCCGGATATTTTTTTGATATCTGACCCTTTCGAGAAAAAGGGTTGGATATTTTTTCAATGTTTTTGCAACGTTCCCACTTCAGAGTTTTATTTCTTAATAACTGGAGTACTACTTAAAGCTTACATCTGAAACTGGCGGAAAATAGAAGAAAAAAAGGCACTTAATCAATCACAATTACCCTTATCATTCAAAAGTTACATATAATTCTGCAAGAACGTCTCGAATAAATAAAAATTTAATTCCCGGGGCAAATATCTTCGTCCAGTGTAGCGAATAAACTGGCCGGAAGTCGCCGGAAGAAAAAATAAATAAATGTCAAAATAATGTCAACTAAACGACAGTTTAAGCCTGTACTCCAGTAAGTACTCCACTTAACTTTGATTGGGAGGTGCATAATAAAACGCCGCCTCGCCCAATATTTTGTCTCGAATAGGTATTCTGCCATATCCAGCTCCTGATCATCCAGTATTTGTTTAGTATTGCCCTTAGAAAAATGACGTTATTGTACTATTTTAAGTTGATCAATTTTTTATGTCGTTTTTATACAGCGTCCCTTGCATTCATGAAAAATGGTGTTTAAGATACACTATATAAGTTATTTTTGCATCTTGGAAGCCAGACAGTTTCTGTGTGATTTTATAAAAATTCGGAAATGTTCATCAGATATCTTGAGCCCCCTCTAAATATTTGGTGCGGCAGAGCTTAATAACACCCCAGTCACATTTGTAGTGCGGAGGCCGTGCGTCGACCGCAGATCAATTAAATCAGGGAATTTCTGCGACGAGCGTAGAAAACGCTCGCCTAGGCTCGCCTTGAGGTCTCCGAACGGTGTATCCAGTTTTTTTCACAGACCGCAGGGTAGCCGTAGAAATTATAACTCGGAGTTATAATAATTGTTCATTTCTGCGGTCCCCGTAGAAATCAACAGGCCGTTGCCAGACCGCAGAATGGTCCAACGGTGGCCGCACGTCGGGTTTGCCGTTGACTTGCGTCTATTGTAGGGTTTGATGGGTAATGTACCTTTGGAAACAATTTTTATGTCAGTTTTCGGTCATTATTTGCTGTAGACACAACATAATACGTATACTGTTTGACGTATGGTAACTGATACCACAGCAACTTATATTTCACTTGCACTTTTTATTCGATTCTATATCCTAACACTACAAACAAAAACATCTATATTGTACTGATGTAGATAAAATAAAAAGAAGAATTAACGCTTAATCAACAGAAATTCAAAAACTCGCTGTGCGGCTGCCGTAGGAAATGTGACTGGAAAAGTATCCGATCGCAGAAATTCCACGGCGAGCGTAGAAATGTTACTGACCGCAGAAACGGTAGACCGCACGGTCGCCGTAGGAATTGTGACTGGGTTGTAAACAAAACAACTTTATCGTTTGATGATATAATGATATTTTGTTTTGTTAGACGCTGTTTAAAAACGACAATTCCAAAAAATAAAGGTTTAGCGCATACTGCGTCGCTATAGAATGAATTACACTACTATTTTCACAATTTTATCGATATCAGGTGTCAATTACACAGGTATGAGTATATTTGTCCCAAACGGCTTAGTTTCAGAAATATCCCAAATTTAGATTAAAAATGACCGTTGCCTCCGCACCAAACGCTCATTCCTGCCGCATCAAATATTTCCCACAGGCTACGTCTGCATAGCTTGGAATGCCTTCAGTATTTTAAACCACAAATTAACATTGACTTGTATAAAATCTGAATACATGACACTTCAGCTAGAATTTATGTCGAGTTTCACTTGAAAAACTAAGGGGTGTGTCCGATTTGCGCAGACTCATTCATATGACTGTTTATGATTAAACAAAAAGATGTACCACAGAAAGAAAACATGACTTTGATCTTTTTCTATGTCACCACTTTTTATATCACCAAGTTATCGCATTGTCGCAAGTCGAAAGGCTCCTAGGATTTTCTGCGACGTCATATGGACTTAATAAAACGTATTCTGTTTTATGTTTGTGTTGACATCAAAACAGCACACATTAAATGTCGTTGATATCAACACACATGGCGCGGACGTTGGTAGAACAACAGAATTTGACTATGTTTGAAAATATCAATTACCGTATTTGCCCATATACATCCTGTTTATCATGTTTGTGATGCTACCAAAAACAGTGGCTTCACGTGCACCGACCCGTGCGACCGGTCATTGACTGTAAACCCTGTTAAAGGCCTCACTATGTTTGAATTTTATTTACATAACCTGCAATGGAAATACGAACAACTAGAAATTATTGTCTACAACTTTTTTGTGGACTATGTTCGGAGGTTGGCTTTTGGCGGTCGGCATCTGTGACGAAGTTAATGGAAGGTGGTTACAGTTTGCAGGCTAGAACCTTTTTAATATTTCTTAAAGATGCACTTGTGAACTAGTATAAACCAGTCATAGCTTCTTTAGCACAAAAGCAGCCTTTGTTTGCAAATGTTTGAAAAGTTCGCGACGTTTTGTATTCTAGCTGCTTATTAAATATAATGTATTTTAATTTCGTTCTTGTTCGTTTTACGTGATGGATGCCGTTAATTTTTCATCGCAAGCATCCAATCCTAAGCCCGAGGGGTGAATAGATTTCAACATGACAAACGTTTTGGTCGTTTCGCCTTTAAGATATATGATATGTTTCGATTTTATCTTCATATTGGCATTTCTCAAATTTGACGATGACCCGGATGTAGATGACGTTGTCTATTAGAAAAATTCAATTTCGCAGTTGAATTTGTATTATTTCCTTACAGTTTAACGTATATTCCTTCGTTATCTATATTACTTTAAAACCCGATTGTAATTGATTGAATAAAAAATCAAGTTTTGTGTTTGATCTTGGCTCGCCTTCTTAAACATTTTCGAACTTACTCTTCTGTCTTCATGAGAAGTTCAACTTGGCCCAGCCTAGAACTCCATTTTTGTTCTTATTTTTTTCATAAAAATAAATAATAAATAATCTGAAAACACGTGTAAAAATGTTCTCCATCTAAGATATAGATAATTTATTTTTCAATATCATAATGTATTGTCGTCCTTGTGTTGCTTGTTTTAAGGTGAATGACACACAGCCCTATTGAGTCGCACTTAAATAGTTCTTTCAAGCTTTAAAATTCAAAAGGACATCACGCATACTAACCTATTAATGACAGCACATTGAATTCGATGATATTTTATACAACTTGTATGTTTTTCTAATCCGGGTAGCATAACCAAGAAAAATTAGTTTTCACTTGAACCAAAATGAAATGCAAGTCAAACAGCATGAATGTGGCCAGATTGATATGGACTGGGATAGAAATAGGATTGTTTTGTGGTATTTCATATGGATGGTCTTCTTGGATCTATGTTTTTAAAGATAATGGAATATTTGCTGACATCTGCCTTGACCATAACGTAGAATTAATAGATAATGCTACATATAATGGAGCAACCCCGTCAACAGACACATTCACCAATGCTACTACAACGTATTATGATGACGTACCAACTGGAGTCAATGCAAGCAATTTTGAAAAGAACGCAGCCATTGAATGCAGAGGAAGGAACGACATGTTAAGTTTGGTATTTACTACAACATCTGTGCTCACGGGCATTCTATCCATTATTAACGGCTACATTTACGATAGGTTTGGTACGCTGGTATGTCGTCTCTTGTCTTTGTAAGTTGCCATTTACAATAACATTCTTAAACGATGAAAATTATTAGAAATCAAGATTACAAGCAATCTTAAGTAGGCCCTCGAAGGCACGTTTCACAATTTTAAGGAAAGTCAAATATCAGATCTCCCGGGATATGTAGATAATATTTAAAAATGATTTGTTCACTTTGAAAAATCAATTTTCTTACCTTTTGATCACCGAAGGTCAACCAAAGGTCAAGTATCAAATCTAAGGTCAGGTCTGAACTTCTGGGATGATTTAGAAGAAAATCTGTCAATTTCAAGCAAGTTTAAAAAAGTATTTTTTGCCTTCAATATCTCAAATGCAAAATTCAGTGCTATTTTTGTGCTATTTTAATTGATATTTTAAACGTGAATTGTTTTTCTGCGTTTTGTTTGAAATTTGTCTTCATTTTGTTCTCCCAGTTATGTCTAAATGTTATGTTTAATATTTTGTACTCCGTGTTCAAATGGAAAAGGAAGTGATATAATATATCTTAAACCAAACCATGTATTATATATACGCCCCTTTTTTGTTTTTGGCGCTCTCATCTCAAATCTTATGGTGTTTAAACTGTATCAAAATTGGACATATTTTATTTATGTGATATCTCTAAGACATTGAATAGCGTCTAGCAGAATACATACAAAATCCGTGTGATGTCATACACCGTTTGTTTGCACACTCTATGTTGGTAAAATTACACTTGTACACGCGTATCTGTGTATGCAGTGTTTAATAAAATAGTACCGTGGGTACTGGGCTCACAAGGTGTTGTTCAAAAGTGAATAATGGCTAAAATGACAACAAATAAAAAAGCGGATATAATTTTGGGGATTTTTTGTAACAAAATTATTTCATACAACACTCTTTACAAAGACATGGCTTTTTACAATGCAGGACACCTGAAATTATTTGTAATGCTAGGAAATGGGCCAAAGTGAATTTCGCGAGACAAAAATGGCCACCATTCTGAAAATAGGTGAGCTTTTGAACCAGGAGTCATAGCGGAGTTTTTTGTATTGATGTTGAACAAAACTTTCTTAAAACGGGAATCCTATTGAGAGAGGTTTCAAGGCAAATGGTACAAAAGTGGATTTCGCGAGACAGATGGACAAATCAATGTTAACTATATGGCTGAAATAAAAAAAACGGATATAACTTTTTGCTGATTTTTTGTAACAAAATAGGCAAGCTTTTGAACCAGGAGTCATAGGGGAGTTTTCTGTATTGACATTGAACAAAAATAGCTTAAAATGGGAATCCTATCGACAGAGGTTTTAAAACGTGCCACAATTGGCACGGACGGATGGACGGACGGACAGTCAAACTGACACGTTCGTTCGAAATTTACTTTGATCTCTGTGTAATTCTTTCACTATTCTATTCTACTTATAACACAATCCGTGTGACATTTCAACATTGTTTTTGGATTTTTGGAAAGTAATCGGAGTTAGTGCTAACTCTTTGTGTGACGCTTGATACAACCAGTGCGTATGTGAATGAAAATAAGTTATGTAAGAAAACTAATTGGTATAACGTAGATTGAAAATTGTATACCATGATGCAAGTTTTGCATATGAAGATGCGTATTTCGCATATTAAGATGCGAGTCTCGATTCATATAGTTCGAGTGTCGCATCATATTGTGTATTGTCCAATTTTGATACAAAATAAATTCCATAATATCTTGGTGTTCTCCTTATCTTAGAGCGATCTTTATTGTTTTAGTGTCCCCTTATTTTTATCTCACTGCTCTCTTCTGTTCAAATATTTGAGCATTCTAGCTTGAGCGCCGTAACCACGAGGTTGCGAGTTCGATACGTGTGTGCTCCTTCTGTTTATTCATTTATGCGACATTATTCTAAACCGTTGGAAGGATCGTTTGAATCGATTATTACTAAATGTAGAATATACTCTGACAGGACAAAACGGCAATACACATTAATTCACTTATAGGTCGATGTATGCCAGTGCTCTGATAGCAATTGCCTTCTCAAAGCAAAGTTAGTACTACTTTACCATATTTTGCCAGAAGCACAATTATATTCAGAGCCACGTTGAAGAAAATCATATTGTTAAATAACTTACTGAATAGCAATCTATATTTAGTACCACTTTCTATAGCACATAGCGACACTTTATTTAGTACCACTTTTATTATTTAGTACCACATCTCTTTTAAAGACTTTTAAAGCAACAGTTTTATGTGAGACACCCATGACACGATATTTCAGCGTTCATTTAAGCTGTAGGCTCGCTCATTTGTTATATACTCTTGCAGTTGCATTCCAATATTCTCTCCGAAAATAGTTTAATAATAATGTTTGAAATATCGAGGGGTCTTCTCCAGGACTTCTCAATTCGAACTTTCGTAATTTGTTCGACACACATTTTATATTAAACATGTTTTTCTACAGTGCATTTATTGTTATCTTAATTTACAGGTGCTTGGGCAAATTATTTACTATTCCCAGCTTTCTTCTTTCTCCGATATGGCGGACTCTTTTTGTTTGTAACGAGTTTACAGACGTCAGCGTTGTTTCCAAGAAGCAGATCAACCATACTAGCTGCATACAATGGTCTGTATGATGCAAGCGCTTCTGTTGCTATAGTATTTAAGGTGGGTACGGAAGCATTCTTAGTATTTCCATTTATATTTAACTTATGAGGCCACATTTGCTCCGATTCATCGAGACAAATTTGATATCAGATGTGAACTACTGAGAACTTGTACATTATTTAACAAAAAATTTGGTCAATCGAACGTTGAAATCAGTTTTGAACAAAATACTGCAATTGGCCGGGTGCCGGCCGATGAGTCGTAGCAAATGTGACCTAGACATTACATCGCTTCTTTCCAAATAATTGTATCTTTACACCCCTAAATTATAGTCGAACAACCAGAATCAAAGTCTTGTGATATCGTCTGAAGCCAGTTTATGTTTAAATCGTATTATGTTCCTTTATTATATTTCATATAAGTGGAAATGAGGACCAACAAATGGGTTTAGTCTTTACATAGATCCTTTAAAGGCCCCATATACAGTTTAAACCTTATATTGTAGTGCCTTATATTGTACACTGTTACCCAATGTTATCAGAATGTAATATGTAAATATTCTAAATTCAAAATGTGTTTTTTGAAGGACTTTTAGTTCGAAAATCGTTAATCTATTTAAAACTAAATTATAGAGCTCACACTTATATTTTAATGAGCGGTTATTCACAACAATGCATAACATTCATCCCCACGTGTCTTTTGTCGAAAAATTAAGAAGAGTTGTTGATAAATTATTGAAAAATGAACTCATCCATGTATTGGAGTGGTTCAGAGAAAGATACATTTTGTAATTTTAGTGATTAAAACCAACTCTCCGAAAATCTCCCAAATTATTTTTTAAAAATAGTAAATGAATGATAAAACTTATTTCCAAACTTTACATGGGGCCTGATACTTAATACAATGGGTAGCATCTTCCCGTTTATATACTAAAAGCAACAATAAGGACATTTGTTTGGGCTGTAAGATGTAGTTGTTATTTAATTGACTAATTCAAAAACAAGCATTTACATTTAAACGTTATTGCACAGACCGACAAACCAACAGACAGACCGATAGATCGATCGACACGATTTTTACACATTTACAGTCGTTGTAATACTTTCAGCTTCAATACGAGAATGGGATTCCCTTGTCTTCTTCCTTGTATGTGTTCCTGTCTGTCTTCTTGCCAATCACACTCCTTGGGACATTCATATTTCAACCTTGGAAGCACATACATTCGGACAACAATGGAAGACATCCAATGGCATTTATCATCTTCCAACGATTGAAAGTCGCCAAATATATAGCCACAAATATAGAGAACGACGAACGGATGAGAAGAAAATATTCAATAGCCGTACGACATGTTTCTATGGATATTACGCCTAGTAAGCAGAGTCGGGGTGAACTCCAAGGGTACACGAACGAAGTATTTGAATCGCCAAATAAAACAAATCTGAGTGGTCATGGCAACATTCAAACTGATTCAAAAACGGATGAAATTAAAACGATCAGTGGGTGTCGACCAAAAGACTTTGCGCACAAAGATTCAACAGCCAGTAGTCAAGAAACGACCAAGGACTGTAGCAGTTTACAAAATAAAGATACACTCAAAAATAATACATCTGATATTGAAACAGATAGGCTTACTAAAATTCTGTTTTCACCATTATTTCTGTGGAATATATGGACATTTTCTTTCCTGAATTTGAGGAATCAATACTTTTTCGTCTCGTTCAACTCGTGGATTACCGACCTGAGTGCAGGTGACAGAAAACTAGGTAGGAGGGTAGAAGTTTTATTTTAACTAATACATATCATCTAACATATCGACATTTAGTTTTTTCTAGTTTCTCATTTTTACAAAATCATACGTTTCTTCTGCACTTTGCGAGGTACTTTCTAAATGGGGCGGAAATGATACGAAAACACTCATGGTCAAAGGTACGACTGTCTAAAATCATTTGTCAATTTTTTATTTGTTCATTTGAAAGACGCCTTAGAATCTAAAATAGTCCACAAAGATCCGTTCAATTTCAGTCACCTTGCACACGTCCGTGTTCACTGGAATGTTGGCTTTCGGCTTCCTTGTCAGCCCCCTGGCAGGTATATTCATCGATACATGGAGGAAAAGAGAAGATCGGGGCAGTCCACACACAAGTTAGTTTGTTATTCTGTTATTCTTCTCAAGAGAAGGGATTTTATGATATTTTATATTACATCCGATACAGATATACAGGTTGTCTATAATTTATATTTTATTTGTCTTAGGTTTCGACAAAAACTTTTAATTAAATTTTCCCATGAAATTGTAGAACACCTACGACCCTACATTTATATATTCACAACGGAGTTTGCCTTGAACGCTGTCTTCAACGTAAGTTCGATGATACCAAGTCTGAACGCGCAGTACTTTACATATATTGCGTTTGTAACATCTAGGGGATTCCTTTATGCTGTCAATGCTGCGTTCATCTCAGAAGCGTGAGTAGTTATAAATTAAAACGGCACATACAATGTATGTACATATTGAAAAATCCGTTGCTAGTCTATGGACTACTCTGATAATTGCAACTTCTTCTTTTCATGGAAGGTCACACATTCCAGCATATTTCAAACAGTCTGTATGGTTATGCTGGGCACTTTCTGGGTAGTCGGACTTCATGTAGGGGTGGCAGACGGCCCTCGGGCCAATTCATACCCCACCCCAAGAAAACCTTGGGGGTACTTTAATACCACCTGATAAAACGAATACTAATGCATGTCATACATTCATAGTTTTATAGTAGGCGATCGGAGGCATACCATGGTTAGTCAGTGCCAGAAATGTCCAATCTCTAACTTATATGGTTACCATGGAAACAGTATTTATATCTCAAAATCTTCTCAATTTGACCTCCAAAATATGTCCCTTAGCCCCCAAAGTGAAATATTTGCAAATTTGTTTAGATTTTGTGGCTATCACTTTGTCAAAAGTTGTATAAATATGTACATATATGCCTACTTTTAATATGTTATGAATATACTCATAAATGCTTTCCCTGTTATGTGGTATTGTAAACTGTTTCTCATATATTTTGTAAGTAGACACAATTCGCTTATTGGCCCTTATCGAGACGCAAAATATACTAGATAGTTTGCATCACAGCAATGTATGTGTTTGTTTTCTTCAACAGATTTCCACAGAAGCATTTCGGCAAGTTGTTGAGTGCGACGTTTGCATCAGGCACCTTTGCTAGCGCATTGCAACAACCTATATTTATTGGTGCCGAATCGTTTGACAATGGCTTCCTAATAGTAAGTAAAACGTAGTATCCGGGCGGACTTTCATATTAAGAAAGTCGTTACTGAGACATCCATCAATAGACCTTTTAAATTTACGTTTGTCGAGATACTTTAAAGTACACGTAAACCCCTTTACAATTACAAAATAACATTTATCAAAACCACATTGTCATCTAAATAACGGCAAAGATATTTACATGATTTCATGTTAAAATGTTTCCAGTCTTGTATTTTTTAGTTCAGGCCTCACAGAATAATCACAACGGGAACAGACCTAACGATGATTAATTTCAAGTTTTATTTAAATGTTTGAATTAATACTATATACCTTCTGTACCTAGATGAATGGAGTCCTCTTGGCGTTGAATTTGACGTTGTTTGGATTCCCAATCTACATTACCAGGCAGTTGAAGACTCAAAAGGATCCACCTAATAATGTGTCTAGCAATAGTTAGAAAGAAAATCACCGACAACTGTAGAAACGCTTGAAGAACGAAAAGAAGCAAGCCTCTAATATAAAAACATAGAAACAACTACATTGAACGAACTTTAAAATATGTCCCTACTATACTACTGTTACTGAAAAACACATTTTAATATGAGGGATCGCATAGTAAATAAAAATGATTTAACACCTGAATGATTGAACAGCGCACGCGTGACATCACATTTAAAAATGCTTTTAAAGTTTGTATAAAATATATATACAGTGTACATGCATGATTCATAGATTGAATGGTTTAAGTGATATAACGTTTGTTTGATCTATCCAATGGAGCAGATAAAAATATGTTTTTTTTGCAGTGTAGAGTGTTATATTTGGTGAATTTTTTGATTCAAAATGGCGAGAAATTCAAACATTTGAAAATTATAAAACATTAAAAAATTCACAATTTTCAAACTTACCACAGGGCCTTTTTAATTAACACAATTTAAGTATTAAGCTACCTTGATCATTCAACAGTCTAAACTATCATTTGTTGGTATCAATTACCGGCTGGCGGTTACATAATCATGTGTAATCAACATAAATCAAAATCGTCATTTTGAACTTCAAATAATGATCAAGCCGCTAATAATAACTATCATTGACTTTCACATGACTTTAATGCAATTGTAATCAGTATGATGGATTATGATAAAGCCACCCGTTGAAATAGCAAGCAGATCGTTAGTCACTGTTAGTTGCTACTTGAATAAACAGATTAAACCTTTATGTAGGTCAGCGACAGGTTTTCTACGATAGCTAGCCGCTATTAAGATGCGCAGCAAGTACAGGGTGGTAAAAAATTGAAACCCTGCATTTTCCTTATATCTTTGTCAATTTAAGAAAATACTCCCTGATATTTCGCACATTTGTACATCATTCAATTTCCTACCACCCTACCATATTTCATGACCATCAGACTGATAGTCACAATTTCACAGCACTTAGAATAACATGCTTCAGATTTGGCCATTATCGCGCTGTAGGCAAAACAGCACAGTTGTCAATGACCCGAATGCATTCCCCAGCAGGTATGGCCTGAATGACACGAATCGTCTCACTTTTGAGGTCTGCTATTGCCCTGAGGTCATTCTCATACACACTATCTTTGTCGTTTACCCACAAGTAGGGGCATTTTAGACGATGAGTACAGGTTTCCCCACAACGCAATAGTGGCCACTGGGCATGTTCTTTAAATTGCTGTAACATTGTGACTATCAGTTTGATAGTCATGAAATAAAGTAGGCTGGTAGCAAATTGAATGATGTACAAATGTATAAAATATCAGGGAATGACAAAGATATGAGGACAATGTTATTAGGGTTTCCATTTTTGACCACCCTGTACTTGCCTCATTTAAATGAGTCGGCCATAAAAAAGCAATCAAATCGTCACCAGTCGCTGATAGTTGAATTCGTGAAAGCTTGCTTCAACTGAAAAATTGCTCGTTAAAGAGGCAGTGTTTGATAGGAGTCCAATACAAAGAATACACATTAACATATATATTTTTGCAATTGTTAGATCCCGAGTCCTACGGTGACTGTAGTAATTGTATGCTTGTACTCAGAAATGACGGTCGGAAATTTGAAAATAAATATATACTAGGCAATACTTTACCCAAGGGTTGGTCTCAAGATATGTAAGATATTGTATGAGAAATTATAATGGGACATCACCTATTGCATTGTCTCAGAGAAAAACCTTGGAGTCACTGCATCTTTAAGGAGATTGACACAAACAATTACTACATATGTTGTATCAACGTCTGCTAATCGCAGTGATTTTTATAGTTCTTTCAAGTTTGTGAATTTGCAAGGACATTAGCAAAAAATGTTGAATTACATGAACGTTGCCAGATTGATATGGACTGGAATAGAAATAGGCTTGTTTTGTGGTATTCCATTTGGATGGTCTTCTTGGATCTATGTTTTTAAAGACGATGGGATATTCGCCGACATCTGCTTAACGAAGTACATGAAAACAAGAGGCAATGCTACATATGATGAAGGCCCGTTAACAGACACACGCACTGATGTAACATCGTTTGATAATAATGTGTCAATTGGAGTCAATGCAAGCGATGTTGAAAATAACGCAGTCATTGATTGCAGAGAAAGGAACGACATGTTCAGTTTGGTATTTACTACAACAACTGTGCTCACGGGCATTCTATCCATTATTAATGGCTACATTTACGATAGGTTTGGTACGATGGTATGTCGTATCTTGTCTTTGTGAGTTGCTTATAACAATCACCTTCTCAAACAATGAAAATAATCAATATTGAAATGATAAAGCTCGTTTGGTTATGAAAATGGCGAAGCAAATTGAGTAAAAATCAAGTCGCATGTTCATATTTATAATTACGGGTTTGAAAAATGTTATGTACCAGGCTACATGGCCTATTGTCTCAATATTAAGTAGGGAGGCATGTATTTCCTTGCATTTTCAGGCAAGTATCCTTGCATTGTCTTCTTCATTGTCTTTTTGTCCGTTGAAAACTCCAATCAGAATATAAGCTTGATTTTCACTACACTCTTAAGACCTCTTATGTAAAACGTTAAAGAGTCGAGGCGTCTTAAGATTGTCCTTTAAATCCACAGTTTCTCAAGACGTCTCGGTCCTAGTCTTGAAAAGAGTAATGTAAACTTGCTTGTTCATAGTAATAGCTCTTAGCAAAGAAGATGCAAAATTGAAATACACATTTATTCACACTATGTAGGTCGATGTACGCCTGCGCTTTACTAGCAATTGCCTTCTCAAACCAAGGTAAGTACTATTTATAATTGTTACCATTTTGAATAGTACAGTTTTATTTAGTGCTAAGTTGCATAGCATCATTTTATAATTATAAGTAACTTTATGGCACTACGGTATTTAGTACAAATGTGAATAGCACCACTATAGTTTATTATTCCACCGAACGAAGTTCGTAGGGATATGGAGAAGTCGTCCAAAATGGCCCTTAATTCAAAATTTAGATATCAGTCTCCAAAATGAGGGTAAACTATATAAGAAAAACAGCAACAAAAACAAACATCGATAAAGACAAATAGACAAGGTGCATTTTCATCTAGAGGAAATGTGGTAGGCGTTTAGTGTTAAAAGTGTTCTGACAAGTGTTTCTTATGTAACTTTTTATGCTGAATCCAAAAAACCATGTTGGCAAGTTGAAATATGATTATTTAACCCTTAATTTATTTATAATTTATTTTAGGTTGAAGAATTTTTTCCCCCTGATAGGGGTGAATTATGGGGGTAGGGGGACTAACATGGTATCTTAAGGGTTAAATAATCATATTTCAGCTTGCCAACATGGTTTTTTGGATTCAGCATAAAAAGTTACATGAGAAACACTTGTCAGAACACTTTAACACTAAACGCCTACCACATTTTACAGAGAGACCTTTTGCAGAAAAGCACCCGGTCTAAAAGGGAAAGGGGGTGTTACCGGTAGAAAAAGCTTCAACCCACCGACGTGTAGTCACAAGTCTGCAGACCCGACACCAAACAAGACCAAAGAGAAAAAGTATAGCAAGAAAGAAAACCAAGAAAGAAGAACCGAAAGAGGGCAAAGAATAACAACAAGTGAAACAAAGAAGAAGAAACTAAGGAGACAAAGGAACTAGGTTATATGGTAATTTTAAAGATGAAAGCTGAATTTCAAAATGGCCGCATTTTTATTTAAAAATGTTATCTTTGATAAATCAAATACCAGTGGATGAATTTGATTTTATATGCTGATGCTTAGAGATGAAGGAGGTCTGCATATTTTCAAGATGGCTGCTATTTATCAAAATGGCTGTCATTTATCTTTTTAAATGAAATCTTTGATAGCTCAAATACCAGTTGACAGTTTTGGTTACAACTTTATATGCTACTTAAGGACAAAAGATCTTTGCTCAAGAAGAAAGTTTCAAGATGGCGGTCAAATTTTAAAATGGCCGCCATTTTTGGAAAGAAACATCACATCTTTTTTATCTCAAATACCAGTGGATGGACTTGGTTCAATTTGGTTTATATGCTCATATGCTCTGTTCAAGAAGTAATTTTCAAGATGGCCACTAAATATCAAAATATGCTTTGTTCAGTTGGATTTGCTACTCCCTGGAGTTGCTGTTTTTCTAGTTAATCTAGTTACAAATTTTTCCAGGACAATTTTTTATTTCGTACCACCTTGTAAAGGAACACTTTATTCAATAACATAGTGTACAGTACTACTTCAATTCGTACCACTCTGTATAGCAGAGACACAACTTTGAATAGGACCACGTTGTATAGCATAACTACCTTGTGTTGCCTCATTTTATTTAACCACTTTGTTAAGAAACTCTTATAAAGTGAGACTATGTACTTATTTAGCACTACTCATATATTGTAGCACTACTTTATGTAGTACCACTTTTACTAGAGGCATCAAGGGCAGCATAAATTCCTTAACTTTAGCAAACAAAATGGTTGACTTGTCTTTTGCAATCACAAATGTAATATGTTGCTTACCATCCCCGTGTTCGTATGGGCCCGCTGAGCTGTAGACAATGCAAGTGCATTTCCATTTTCTCAAAAATACCTCGAATAAAGATTGATATCGAATGGTCTTTTACAGGAAAACTTAAATCGTGTTTGAGGTATCCTATTTTTTTCTAAATACATATTATTGACATCTTGATTACAGATGCTTGGACAAATTATTTACTATTCCCAGCTTTCTTCTTTCTACAATACGGTGGACTCTTTTTATTTGTAACGAGTTTACAGACTTCCGCGTTGTTTCCAAGAAGCAGATCAACCATACTAGCTGCATACAATGGTCTGTATGATGCAAGCGCTTCTGTCGCCATAGTATTTAAGGTGGGTATTGAGGCATCCTTGTCATTTTCATTTCTTTAAAACCAACATCGTAAAAGTACGAGATGGCCTTTCAATGTAATGTTCAAAAATATAAACACAGGTTTGAAAGAATTTTATTTCATTCAATTAGTAATTACTCATCATATACGATGGTGGTTTCATAAATACTTTAAGTATCAAAACAAAATGTATCATATTTGAAAACGTATATTGAAAATGCATTCTGTAACACCATTTCGTTTAATATACAAATTATACCTTTAGTTGTCGTTATAATTTAAGCTTCAGTACGAGAATGGGGTTCCCTTGTCTTCTTCCTTGTATGTGTTCCTGTCTGTCTTATTGCCAATCACACTCCTGGGGACATTCATATTTCAACCTTGGAAGCATATACATTCGGACAACAATGGAAGATATCCAATGGCATTTATCATCTTACAACGATTGAAAGGGGTCAGATATATAGCCACAAATGTTGCGCATGATGAGGAGGTCCGAAAAAACTATTCGACAGCTGAACCAAAGGATTGTGCTCCTAGTGAGAGTAAGGTTGAACTCCAAGGATACACGAATAAAGCATTTGAAGCACCAAATGAACCAAATCTGAGTGGTCGTGATATCCGTCCAACTGAATCAACAACCGATGATATAAAAACGATAAGTGAGTGTCGACCAAAAGACTCGGCGGCTGAAGATCCGAGAATCAATAGTAAAGAAACGATCACGGATTGTAATGGCTTGCCAAACAAAGCCACATCCAAAATTAATACAACTTATATTGAAACAGATGGGCTGACTAAAACACTATTTTCGCCATTATTTCTGTGGAACACATGGACGTTTTCTGTATTGAATTTAAGGAGTAAATATTTCTTCGTCTCTTTCAACTCATGGATTACCGACCTGAGCGCAGGTGATGAAATACTAGGTAGGTGCTAATTGTTTTAACTAATATATCACATAATTTTAGTTATTTTAGCATACAACTTGTCATTAAATCATCTTGAGCTCTCTGGGTATTTCAATCATGCTATTATCTTCCAAATATAATTTAGATATATTGGTCATCATGTATATTTGGACCACTTATACATCTTTTTAGTTGTGATTATATGTTGTTGTCGAAGTAAAGGTACAGTATCAGGATAACAGAAATATAAATCCAACCCTCAGAAAATGATCCGCGTTTTTCAAAATCTCGGACTTCTAAAAATAGGACATCCATTTTCTCATTTTTCCAAATCAAAATGTACTTTTGAATGAGGGAGCGGTGAAAGAGGGAGCGGTGATGAAACAATGTGTCCCTTCTTATATTCCAATACGCATTCTATCTATTGCTTTGAGTCCAATATTTTGGTAACTAAGATATGCTCAACACCACTCTGCCTTCAAGGAAGGTATACATCTCTTGTTATGTAATTGCGCAAGCCCGACTTTCTGAAAAGTATATTGAGGTAAGCTCCTAATGCATGTTTTTTTAGATATTATGATTGATAAGTTTAGTATCGCGAAGACCTTACTCAGATGAAATGTTAATATCAAAAGATAAATGGTTGCCTTAAAATCACTTTCCATACCATACTCGTGTACATTTACCAATTGTCGTTCAATTTCAGTTACCTTGCACACGTCCGTGTTCACTGGGATGTTGGCTTGCGGCTTCCTTGTCAGCCCCCTGGCGGGTATATTCATCGATACATGGAGGAAAAGAGAAGATGGCGACAGTCCACACACAAGTTAGTTTGTCATGCTGTTTGTGATCAGTTTATTGTAGAAGCGCTATGTAACGTAAGGCGTAGATATACACTTGATAATTTGTTTTTGTCAAGAATGTTTAATGTGAATTATCGCCATAAAATAATTATAGAATACCTGCGACCCTACATTTATATATTCACAACGGAGGCTGCCATGAACTTTGTCCTCAGCATAAGTACGATGATACCAAGTCTGCACGCGCAGTACTTTACATATATTGCGTTTGTGGCATCACGGGGATTCCTTTATGCCGTCAATGCTGCGTTCATCTCAGAAGCGTGAGTAGTCATAAACTGCATGCATATGTAGATATTGAAAAACCATTAGCCCTACTTTTAAAATAAAATACTATGAATGAACTCTTAAGTGCTTTCCTGTGGTATTGTAAACTGCTTCCCCTCTGGCCACGACCATATATTGTTTTGTATTGTAGACACAATGCGCTTCCTGGCTTTTATCGAGACGCAAAATATACTAGATAGTTTGCATCACAGCAATGTATGTGTTTGTTCTCTTTCATAGATTTCCACAGAAGCATTTCGGCAAGTTGTTGAGTGCAACATTTGCTTCAGGCACCGCTGCTAGCGCATTGCAACAACCTATATTTATTGGTGCCGAATCGTTTGACAATGGCTTCCTAATTGTAAGTAAATACGTAGTGTTACAAGTCTGAATGGCATTGGTACTGTCAATAGATGGCAAAGAATTTAATCATATTAAAGCATTACGTAAATAAGTATGAAGAGAAATTGTGATATTGATTTGTTCTGTGTACTATATTGGAAGTTTTGATACAACTATGTTACATACAAACCAATGGGAGTACAGATGTGAAGGATAGCCCACTAGAGAAAGTGAACTGCCATCTATATTCAAGTCCAGCTTGCATTGGTCCATGATGATGCTGTTTGCACAAATGCATGAATATAGGTGGCACACACTATACTTCCTCCTTTCACTAAATCACATTTGTCGAAATCCTTCTTGCATCTATAACAGTTAAGATTCTTTCCTCCGATTTATGTTACAATCAGACTTGTAAAGTCTTACAAATTAATTCAGACGTGTTCATTCTAGATGAATGTAGTGATCTTGGTGTTGAATTTGACGTTGTTTGGATTTCCAATCTACATAACAATGCTGTTGAGGACTCAAAAGGATCCACCTAATAATGTGTCTAGCAATAGTTAGAAAGAAAACCACCGCGCGACTACTGGAAAACATATGAAGAACAAAAAAGAGGCAAACCCCTATATAAAATATAAACATAGTAACAACTACATTGAATGGACTCAATAGAATTTGTCCCTACTGTTATTTAAAAATACATTTTAGGATGTGGGATAACCTGCTTAAATTAAAGTTGTAACATTTTGAATCTTAGTAAGACATCATCTAATGATATGATGTAATTATGGTGGTTCGCTCTCCTTCAAAAGTTTAAGTATCGGAAGTAATTCCATTTTACTTATCTGGGAAATAAGGCACCTTGAAAACGGAAATTGCTTATGCGATAATGCTGATATACTTCACTTAATAAGATACATGTTTAATTTGTAATTGATTTATTGTCAATGCAGATATTTCCGCGATACAGTCAATGGTTTATCTATTACAACTAATAATAAAATGCGTTTAACTGAATTATCGTGCACGCATACAATTTGAAGCACAATACCCTTTCACTAGTCATTCGTCAACTCTCATTCTTATATGTTAGTCTTTTCGAATTAAATTTCTGTTTGTAGTTTGACTTATTTACAAAAGAAAATGTGAGAATGCGTAGTTATTGCATCACCTAAACGTAAAACAGAAAATTAATTCTCTAGGCCTAACTGTCGTATTCAAATAAATATGACCCTGAAAACAATTAAAGGATCCAAATATGAAAGAATTATGACGGATTAACCCATACGAGTCCTTCAATTATAAGTCAAATAATGCACAAGATACACAGTATGCAGTTTAACACGAGACGAAGTCAAGTGCAATATGCTCTATCTTATTCGTGACGGGCTCATTTGGTGTAATCCTTTCCACGCATAGCAAAATATGCATAAACAAGGAAAAAGTCAACTCGTATATCATGTGCCAAGGATGAAATCGCAATCATGAGAAAGTTATAAAATATTGACTACTAAATAACAGATTAAAAGCTAAAATGTTATTATGATGGCAAAGATGAAAATATGTTATACAAAAATATACGACACAAAAACAAAAATACTAGCACATTTTCCCTGTTATTCTAACACTAACAGATTAAGCATGTCAACTCAACCATGTTATCATTTTTCCAGTGCGCTAAAAAAATTGACAAATTATTTTTAGTAATCGTTCAAGAGTCAGCCGTGCATTAAACTGATAACATATGGTTTTACTGAGCTCTGATTGGTCACGAATTGTGTATGCATATTGCATACATGTTTGCATTTGAATGTGGCAAAAATGGTTAACACATTTGGATCCTTCAATTGTGAACATAGTATTGTTTTTACAATAAATTAATGTTTCTCAAAAATATATCTCTAAAGTATGTACAATTAGACCAAATATATACATATAAACATTTGTCTTATAAATTCTATTGTTAACAGTCACTCCTATGTGATATACGTCACTAAAATGCATATAAACAAAGTTTTTAGAAGTATCAATTTATTGAAAAATATTGCACCATTCTCAATTGATGCTGCAAAATTTATTGTGATGTCGAGACAAGGTGTTTGCCACCAGCGTTCTCTCAGAAGTTGTAGTTCTCCACTGAACTCCAGCATCGATAACGCCTGGTTCAGATCCATCTGTAGCGGAGAAGACGGCTCGGTTGCAAAGCCATAAGCATATTCAGTCCAGTTGGTACCAACATCAGTAATTCTAATGGATCTTAAATCACACGGCAGACTTTCGGTTATGTATTCAGCGGAAGGTGTTTCCATGATCATAATAACACCGTCATCCCTTATCCTTTTCAGGGCAACGTTGATATCATCAACCAAGATTTTACTCGGTTTTAATACTTGCTCGCGGCTCATATATGCCCAAAGTTGTTTGAGCACGTTTTGTTTTTCGTTCTTGTACATGTGCTCCATGAGACCTCCAACAATCGTGTCGTGATGCAAATAGTTGAATACAATGTCACGAATCGTATTATTGACATCGTCAGTCACACCAGCCTTTGTCATGTTAAGCAGGCCTTCGAGAGAAATGATGTTCTTGAACTGTGGGGAATCCTTGAAGACTATGCTGTATCCAAACCTCATGAAAGGCATGGAAAAGTCGACGTCCATTTTTCTGTATTTTGTAATTAGAAGTGGCCCTGCAGCCATATCTGCTTTCTGAAAGGTAAAGGCAAATGTCATGATATAGGATTAGATTCGTTTTTCTTACAAAATAATCTTATCATGTTTTACTTTATATTCTTTTTTGTGAGATGCTTCGGAGAGTGTTTCGCCTTTAACAATATGAAATCCACTTGAAACCGTGTACTGCATTCACTCCATTGTGCCACGGATTGAATTCTATATTTATTTTTTTTGTATATTTTGAATCTGTGACGTATGGTTTATTAGAAACAATGGCATCTATATCAACAACATGACATCAACAATAACAGGACATTGACAATAAACAGGAATAACAAACCAAAATACATGGTCAATTTGATCGGTTGATTAAGAATTGACTTACTCCACGTAGAACCTCCTGAATCACGCCACTGTCCCCAAGGACCTCACCGATCATCCCGCTCCAACGCCCTTCGTCATCTCGCGCTCCGTGCCTTCTGTCCTCGGCCTCTCTTATAACAAAGCGAGTTTGTGTTATGCTGAAATGTATTGCGTTTATTTATTAAATATCATTTGATATGTTTCATAAAATCGAAAACATACGCCAAGAATATATTCATACCAAGGTTATTTGCAACTATATAGTAAAGATTATATCTCATTTATATGGAATAAACAGAAAACAAAAAATGAAAACCAGTCAGATAAACATTTTCTACTTGTCGAATGAAACAAATATTGTTACTCCTTTGTTTTACTTTTTTCTTTTGCTTCGTTAGAAACTTACCGTCCAATTGCATTTATCAAATCTACTATAAATCCCTCGTATTGTGCATTATTGTCTTTGTCACCTGGTATATTGTCAGATCTGTTATCATCACTTTGCTGGCGTCTCATGAGAAATGGCGGCTCCAACACTGACGTCACAATCACTGATCCACTATAGTCCGGCATTGCTGAAAGTATAAGAGATAATCCATTAAAACCAATAAATGATATTATGACAATGGACACGAAAACATTTCCACGCCGGCCAGTTGGCAAGTTTGCACGTACTATCGCTTTATAGTACATCATATAAAGTCCCACCATCATTTACAACAAGGGTAATGTCGGTAGAAGAGATATAAAGAGCAAACATAAGAACATAATGGGTAGATAACTGAACAGTGATAAGACAAGCTTCTAGGCTCAATTTCTTGTAAGCTTTAAGCTTTTATTCATTACTGAAATCATGTAAAAGTAAAAATAAAGAATGTGTTCAGCATAGTATACTATACTTGACTGCAGAGTTCGGTACAAAAGTTACCGTACCACAAGAACCTACACAATTAAGGGTTAATGTTAAAAGCCAAGGTGTGAAGTGGAAAAGCCCAGGGCCAACCATCCAAGATGAAAGAAAGCAACCCTATCTGAAGGAGAAAAGAGATGGAAGATTTACGTGCAGCATCAATGATGCGGTTATGACTCAACATCGCCCAATCTTCAAGAGTACTGAAGTGCATTTGTCTAACAGTGAGCCATTGAGACTTGAAGAGCCAGGGATCCTCAAGTAGCTAGTGTTTTGCACCATCTAAACTATCATACGAAGGAAAAGCCCGGATCTTCTATTCCCACGCCGAATCAATCGTATCATACATAGTAAACACCCCGAAATAACACCTACAATCGTATAGACTTGTGCAGACAATATGATAATATCTGCTTTCTAGAATAATACAAAAGTGCTCTCCTCGGCCTGGTGTAAATAGTCAATTTTGATCCAGATGCTTCAACCAATACTAAGACCACAGAATTAAACAAGGTACTATTATCAAAAACCTTGGTCGATCGAATGGAGATATGATGATAGAAATTTGTTGTACAATAATCAAAGAGGAACGAAACTTTGGAAACATTAAACTGTTTTAAAAAATTAAAATTCCGCTTAGGATATTTGCCACGTAGTAGTCCATTCAACTGAACAGATCATAATTAAATGTTTTGTTAAGATAAGTTTCTGGCTAAAACAAATAATATTTGTGTAACCCTAGCCCTCTTTGTTTACTTACTAGCCCACTGGCGGATCTGGGGGGGGGCCCAGGGGCCCGGGCCCTCCCCCCCTTGGGTGGGCCCAGAAAAAAAAATTATGCCCAAAAAAATTTTTGAGCCAGAAAAGGCCTTTAGGCCCCAAAAAGTAGGCCTTTTTGGTCCTAAATGGGCCTTCTAAGGCCTTATTTTTTAATTTTTGGCCAAATTTTGTAGAAAATGGGCCTCAAAATTTCAAAATTTGGGCCCACTTTTGGGGTTTAGGGGCCCAAAATTTTTTTCCGCGCAAGCGCGGAAGTTTTTTCCACAGACCAGAAGTTTGGGCCCCCCCCCCTTGTTGGTTCCCAGATCCGCCCCTGTAGCCCATCTTCTACTACGATATTCAATTATACCATTTACTACAAGTGGGAAGATGAGAGAACATAAGACAAGTTCTGCTGGTACGTTTCCATGCCGACACATCAATTTATAGACGCTTGTGGTAATAACAACATATTGAATCGAGACACTAATTGATAAACATACTGAACAACACATTGTTTTCTGCAAAATGTTTTTTCCGGCGTTCACCTGCAGTTCTTCCCGTCAGGTCCATCTGCCAACCGCTAAATATCCAGGGGTGATCGCCGGGATCCCACGGAACCTTCACCAGATTTGAACACAACGCAGTCGCTCAAGTTGAACGCACCTATTGTCAGAATATTTGTGAAATTTCATCTGGCGATTCCGCCATATGTCGATGATTTTCGTTTATTTTTGTAAAATGAAAGCAAATCTTGATCTGTTTGAAGGTTTATATCAAGCTATCGACGCGGAATGATTCCATATGTTGTACTTTCGGAGCAGGTTTCAGTTAAGTAAATCATAATGGGGCGAACATAAAAACCTGTGTTGATCGAACATCAGAGAACATGTCAGATGAAACTAGACAAGCCTAAGATATAGGATTTTCCCGGAGAAAAAACGGTCCAAAATTTGAAAAGGAACAACATGACTGGCTTACTTCAGTCACGTGATTTTGACTTCGCTCGTAACTTTTGATAGATGAAATCCGATAAGTGAAAAGTTTGAATTTTAGTTATCAGTTCCCAGATCTCTATTGTATTAAGTTGCATCCTAATGATCGTACAGCTGTTTGAAATACACCAACTGGATCTAGTGTATGAGCTTGTTATATCGAGATGGCATCTTAGCTAGATCCTGCATGGGCGATTATCGTGTAGCATCAGAGAGAACACAATATGCCAACTGTCGGTTTCATGGTGTCAGGTTCCTTGTTGCGTAAGGTTCCCAAATAGTAATTAAAACTAAAGCGGTTATCTAATAACGATATAGCCACTAGGGATTGGTCATCCCTTGTGTGTAGGACAATGTACAAAGATCCATTATAAATATTAAATTCTGAACCCGGATTCGAGATCGAGTGTTCTGATTCAGAAAGTACTGGCCAGAGTGAATCAGCTTAAAAATGTAGGGTCAAAAAGATAAAATACCAAAATCGGCGGTCCAAATCAGTGAAGTTGGTGCCGTTTGTTGCACATACGTGGGTCTTAGCCTGGTAGGACCACATAAACATATTAGGGAGGTTAAGATTAGCGTAAAAATATACGTGTACCTATCCCTATCCGTATGTTTGTTACGGATACGTATAGGTAATGCGTATTGCAAAATGAGTTTAAGATTAACGTAAAAGGCTACAAAACCGTATGCTACAATTTATGATAAAATTAACATCCTAACTATAGAATGAAAACCATGCGATGGCTTATATGGCATATACCAGTACATGTCATCTCCAAGAACTGTTATATACTTCAGAGAGAATGTGGTGTAGCTTCTGTTGTTGGGAGGGAGTATTGCTTGTTGGTCCTCTAATGGGGCAGTGACTTAAGGCGAAATGTTAAATTTCTAGCATGATCCAGCAATGAGAGTGACCAAATAGTAAAGTTAAACAATTAAAACCACGAGGAAATGGCTGATTTCATACATTTACAATAAGCAAAACTGATGAAGAATGTGTAAATTCAACAATTTCATGCACCATCACATGGCATCGTTTATCGCATCGATGAATGTGTTCGACCACTTAATTTCTATGCAGATCGAATGAGAAATGTTTGTTGTTACTATTTTAAAGTTTAATGGATGATATTTCATCTAAAAATGACATAATTTGTTGGATAAAAACATACGTTTTCGAATTACCTATCTTCGGCCATTTATAGGTAATTACGTATGGTAAACCCTGTAACTTTGGTAAAATACCGCTTAGTGTAATAACAAACTACGTATAGGTATAGGTAAATGGGTTATTTACGCTAATCTTAAACTCCCTAGTATAGAGATAAGATAACGAAGACAAGATCAGTGCTAAGACCCTTGATCATGTGGATAACCTCTGTCTGCTTTATAGTGAAATGAAGCTGGATAATCCTTCGAATAACCAAACTAGTACCCATATTTACACAAATAACGATAGCACTTTGAAGTACACTTATTATCAATTAATTAATTAATTGATAAGTAAAGTATTCATATTTTTCAATTCTAGAATTTTCTTAGGAAAATGATCGGTTCAACGTTAACTTATATTCGAATATATTGAACGTAAACTTTTGTTTATAACCACAGACAGTTTGCAAACTTTACCCCAGCAGTTGGTGTACGTCAGCCAATCAATGCAAATTAACAGACTGATCGGTTTACTCGGCACCAGCTTTTTAAAAACCTTTTAATATTTTCATGTCGACATCACAAAAACAATTTTCACACTTGGGAGTCTCATTTACACCAACTATGCAAACAGCGTCAAGGATTCTGATCCCGATTTTCGGTTTTCGATCTTTTTCCATGAAATGTCTAGTGCCTTTCTCCGATATATCAATGCTGTGAAATAAGAGGCTATGTTTTTACAGCAATGGCAATGATATATGCGATTATGCCAGTCTTATCATGACATTAAACGGCATTATCGGAGAATGTTGTGTTTTCAGACAGATAAGATCGAGAACCATTTACAAGTGCTTAGTGCTTAGAAAACAGAAATCCAAATGATGCTTTGTAAATTGCCATGGAAACCTGTTTTGTTTCTCATCAGTTTTCCCAAGAATGCGAAAAACATGTATTTATTTTATTGAATTGATAATGATTATGTGTTTTGATATCTGTTATATCTACCTTGAATTTCACAGCTTTAATTAGCAATTTGATGAGGTCTTTTAATCCAACTTCTCAAAAGGGTATGTTATCTAAATGAACTATATATTCCAAACTTCGACATGAGCTATTCAACATCGTCGAATGATTGATTAAATAATTGGAAGAGAAATTCTTGAAATGAATTAAAACGTGGAGCAAAATACCAGAATGATAGACACTTCATCAGTAAAATGATTTTACATGTTATGCTAGAATTAAGAATTCTTGAGGAAGAAGAAACTCAGAAATGTTTATCAATCTAGTTTTATTTATTGAAGAGAGCGCGTCTGTGTATTATAAAACATGGTTTATCTTTTCAAGTAACGATTAATCGCCACCTCTGCACATTAAAAGATATATGACCTTCTAGAAATCGCCACTAAAGAGAAGGGATATCATTCCACACTTGAGAACCGATTTCACTGATAGACCATCAAACCATTTGTGAATTCTGACTTTTCAAAATGACTGATAAACGATATGATTTTGTCAGATCTTCTATCCTGGATCGAGAATTTTACCAGACCAAAAAACATACAGAAAAGGTATCTATCAATATCTGCTAAGGCAAAGCTGGGCCAAAGGGTAAAGTATGTTTTCATGGGTGCCAGATAGTTGCAATTGTATATGAAGCTCTCTGAATGAAGCAAACTTTTAAATTTATGGAAAGGGTTAGGATTAAGTAGTATGTATGTATTGCAAGACGCCAACCTCTTGAGTGTCAAACGTCAGATGTGAGCGTGTGTTGAGATTTGTTAGACACTCGGCACCCCACGCTGCCCCGCGATGTTATCACTGAGTTAGGCAACGCGACAATTAACACAGCAGTTAAATCTACACCCCGAATATGGATTGCATTTCATATGCTCATAAAAAATAAAAGGGATTTAGTTATGCCTAGCTTCACGTTTACATACACTTTGAAACTGATAGAGGATCATGACTTCTGTTTGACCATTTCTGATAATTGAACAGAGTCTTGGATTCCTTCCCATAAAGCCAGAGGGTATCATGTCCACTACTATTGTGGTATCTTTGAAATCTTTGGAACGCATCTCAAATACGATGCCTTGAGAGGTTTGGTGACCACTAGTCCTTGTGGTTGATGGGGTAACATATAAAGCTAACAGACAAGTGGACCAGCTGGTTGGATTTCAAGTGACAAACAAGTGAACTGCTCCTCAGAATCATTGGCTCTATTCGCTTTAATCAACACGAATCAATCCTATATCAGTTACCTTGTTTATATAGCACCGGGCTAATTACAGAAACATGTACTCTATGTAGACTACTACTGGTGGGCCATGCCCTGGAATCCTTGATTAGTGAATAAAATAAGGATCATAGATCTCGAGCCAGGGGATTACCGTTCAAAGATCTAAGGATCGTTTGTTTAGCCTGTCCCGATCCCCTGGGCTGCCTAACGAGTATGATAAACATTTGTCAAAGAGTGTATATTTCCTTTTAACTTTAAAGATTAGTAATTTAGAAATACATATTTATCGGCTTCATTTCATATTTGGTGTGCTAGAAAAGGTAGATCAGTGCATAGTTTTTCTGATACCTGGGGGGACAAGAGATAACTTGCAAATTGAAGTTAGTAAGGTCCTAACAAGTTGCTTGCACATCTCCTATCTATAACTTTCATAGATTCATATATGCCAAAAAGTTTCTATTTATATTTCTGATTAAAGCTCTGGTTTTGACTGATGACTTATGGCAAATGAAGATGTTACAGTAAACTACCAATAAAGCATTTCATTTTTTTCTCGTGTGTCCATCGAAGGTTGGATTTTTCACTGAATTGTTCTATCAATCGTGAACTAATTTTGTGTATGATTCTGTGAATGCATAAAGATTCACAAGGTTTCAGTTGCAGTTCGACCCAGTGGAAAGGGACGATGCTGTTAATGTGCAAAGTAAGAATGCATTCACGCATAATTTGAGCATACAGAGATAACCAGGCATTTGTTTTAGAATACCCATTATTTTCGAAGAACCAGACGCACGCAGAAGAGAAGTAATTGACGTAAGGAAATGATGAACAGATAACCACACCCAAACACACGTAGTGTTTTGTGCAGGTACAACCACAAACATTCCCAATCGATCCAGGTAATTTATTTATCTCCAGAGGAACGTTCGGCTAAATCATGTTCTGTGCGTACGCCAGTAGACGGGGAGCTGGAGGGGGCATATATTCGCTTTAATTAAATACCAGTGGCATCTAAGTTCGAACTAGATACGTGTCGAAAGATGACAGTAACGAGAGGTGTAATTTATGCTCTAATGAATTTAGAGGTTATTTTAGATACCTTTCATATCTTAAATGTCTCCTCCATAGCAAGATACAACTTTTCTTTAATGACTGACATTTTGTTTCGAATATAAATCAACTTAGAGTAATTGAGCCATTTGACCAACATTTCAAGCTGATTGTACATGGCCAAATATTAATCAATAAAAATGCAATTTTTCTTAATTTTTGTGAAATACTTGATACGCATGTTATGATGATTAACTCCAGACATGCTATTAGGAGTGTTCAACATCCCGCGCGTCAAGTATGTTGGCGTTTTGTATATTTCACTGAGTCATTCATGAGCACTTAACGCTGGCAAACATCACCATCGACAACTCCATTGAAGACGCTGTATATCAACAGTCAACACATGTGTTGAAAGATAGCGGGAAGTTATGATTAAATTAATCGAAGTGATGATTACATGTAAATAGTTGACACTAATGGCGAGAATTTATAATCATGAAATGGACCTTACTAGTTTCTAATTTCTTGATTAGATGTGTTTGGATCCATGGGAACGGATTTAGAAGCATCTCATTATTCATCCTTCCATTTGGCTTAATTTCGCATTTCCCAATTGACCGATACATCGATAGTTTGGGGCCCAGATGACTTTCTTCAGGTTGAAAAAATCACAATAGTACTAAAAGTACAACAACATTTCTTCCTAACCTAAGAATTAATAAATAAAACACTGAATCAACTAACATCTCAAAAGGCGACTGTGTGATTATCAACTGTACCTTTCCCAGTTTATCATAGACAACTGATCCTCTGTATCCATTGAGACAAAAGGCAATTGTCACTAAGCCTACATTGAGCAGAATTCAAGTCCTTCATGACATTTAATATACCGACGCTATCGGGATATTGTCGTTTGAGTCTGGAGGGACAATCGCGTTATTTGAGACGCTAATTTCGGATGTTCTCTCAATGGGAGTTAGCTTCCCATAGAACACAATAGTGAACAAAAAACCAAGCCTTCCGGCATATGGTGTAATTTAAATCAAAACATAATTAAAGCTGGAAAACGACGTTTAGAGTCCATATCACCATGGCACTTGGAAACTGCTTGAAACACAAGTTCTTGACATCTATCAAGTTATTTTTTACTTTCATAAGGGTTCTGGCAATCCTTTTTGAAAATTCTTCCCCTGTGGTAATAAGTAGAAAAAACTCAAAAAACCTCTCGAAGGCAAAAACTCAAGTAGATCTCTGTCGGATATTCACTATTTACAATGAGGGAATATCTTTACGTTGCTAGGCAATTTAAGATAAATAGAGTCATTTCTAAATGCAATCATTGTTTCCGGAAAGTAAAGATAACCCGTGCACTAATTGTATTTACAAAACATTGACTTTTTCCAAAAATGTAAAAGGAAATATTTACAAAAATACTCTAGTTCGGGAGCCCAAATTGCATTAAATATCGTACTCAAAGTACGTGTCTCGATCTGATTAACCCAAATTAACGAGATCTAACAGTAGTCAACCGTGTCAATGGAATGCTATTATAATCCCTCAAGTTGCCCCGAACTGTGAATTTAATGTCGAAACGTCAGAATCGCAGGATCAAGTTTCAACTTACAGTAAAAGTTAGTGGTTTCTTAATCATGACTGTTGAAAAATTGGAATGTCGCTTTAATTGAAATGACAAGTAACCCACCAACAAATGTAAACATGAGTATTTATGTTGAAAGTATTAAAAACGATTTTGAACCTGTTCATCTACTTGATTTTTAAATAAGTCAGCAAGCTAACACATGCAATAAGGCAACTTGAAAACATTAGTTTTTACGCAAAACAATGATTGATGTTTATAATATCATTGTTGTGAATATAAACTCTAGCTTTCATCAATGCTGTCATATTTTTAATCAGATATGCAGTAACAGTGATTTTGTTTTACAGTTTTATTTTATTGAATATGTTTAATTTTCAAATGTGCGCCGGCAAAGTTATAAATCCAAATATTATCATATAAAATGAATCATAATGTACTCAAATTATGATATAAAATGAATGTACTCAAATTATGATATAAAATAAATGTACTCACCTATCCCGGTTGCTATAGTAGAGAGGATGACGCTCATTCGGAGAAAGGTGTAAATTCCGATATCTTCCATGATTGTTTTATCACTGAGAATTCTTACATGGTCTTCGGCACAGGGTCAAATTGCACAAAATGAGTACCACGAAATTCGAATGGTAATTTATATAGAATATAAACCTCCACGCGGGGTTACTATTTCAAATGTTTTAAAAAACAAATGGATGGTGATGTTTGCAATTATTGACTGCAGAGGGGTTAATTAAACAATTATGTATGTATTTTCCCCAGAGCTATGCCTTGAGGATGACCGAGGTTGCCTTTGTTTTCCATCATTCGTGTATGCATGTTATCTTAATTATTGCACGCACTCGTATTGTTAACCAGTGCACTTTTAGTCCATAGCGGCACGTGCGAGAAATAATATCATGTATAGCAATCAACTCTATCATATTCCCCGTTATTTCAATCATTCCATGAAAAAAACGTGATATGAACATTTGCATTTAACGCGAGACTTGGAATATATATATATATAGGGTTTGATTTCAAGGAGGGTGACTTGTAAAAGAAGATAACTCCATGTTTATCAGCTAACTCTAGGGGGTGAGTTCGAGTTGATTAGTGGCAGTCTTACTCTCCGCTGCTATCTGAAGTGTACCGAAGATGAAACCAAATCCCAAAATATTAATATTGGAATGCAAGATCTCTAAATCGGAATGTCATACCATTTTTATGCTGAAATTCTTATCTCATAATTCACGATTTACTTTGAAATGAAAATTTCAATCTGAAGCAAAAATAAAACATTTAGAAGAGAAGTGGCTTGATATTATCCATAACATTGTTTTTAACTTCATTTATAAGATATCGCTCACTTACTTATTAGATCATATCCTATATTGGGTGGATAATAATTGTTCGTATATAAACAACATCTTTCTCCAACAGGTGAATTATAGTAATATTTCAAACAGTCTGATAATGTCTGGGATAAATAGAACTTTTTACTGGGAATATTGAGCAATCATGCATTGACCGATGAAATAACTGCACATTATCTTGGGACGAAATAGAATTCGTGCACTAGATACACATGAGCTAGAGTTGTTTTTAATTATATTAAGATAACACATTTGATATAAAATCAAATAAAAGAAAAAATAGCTCAGCCCGTGCCTTTCAGAATAATTGCCATTAACACCAATCGTTCATACATATTTTGATATTACTAATCGTCAGTAAATAACTTTGAAAAAATAAATTTAGATAGAGATCACATAATTTAAATAACGGCATACATTGTTATCAACCTCCTATTTAATTTAAGATACCAAACTGATTAAATGTAAAAAAAAAATAAAACGATATTATTTAAATACATATACGATTTTTACATGAATGCCACAGTATGAGATTGGCCAAACGCTGCTGACGTCAAGTTTTCATCGTACCAGACCTCAACAAGTGACATCTTATACCAATCAGAAATTTGAAGGATGGTTTAATTTATCTAAGAACAGGTTTTTCACAGCCAGATTTTGCTTTGCTGCTCTGTGCTAATGTGTTTTTGTTATGGTTTTGTTCCCCCTGCTCATCTGGTGGTTAAGATAACAATTAGACGTCTACAATCCTCACTATTAAAGCTGTCAAGTAAGATTAGACAGTCACGTGTTAATTATCTACCTAATTTTGAAGTTTCGGCTCGCCGATAGGGGGCGTATGAGAGGGAAATAACGGGCGTTCAAATCATGACGTCATCTTTTTCAAAAAATATTTTTAATCATATTCCTATTTTGAAAACTGATGGTGGTAAGATCGGAGTTGAGTTTCGTTCAAATAGAACGCTTTCAGATTCAACACATGTCCGTACCCAACTCCACTCCATATGGTAGTTTATCGAAGATTTCAAAAACGCCGTGTTTAAAGACAAGCGAGTCAAGTGGTATGTCTGGAAAGCTAAATGCGTCACTTATCGCAAAATTTTACGTTAATTGTGAAAGGTGGTTTTGGCGATAAACCATTTAATTCCCAGGTTGAACTCATAAAACAGATAGGCCTAGTATTTGATGATATTTCTGATGATACTATATCGTAAAACAGTCGCGGATATTAAAAGTGCTGTTTCCGAAACCAGCTCATATCTAATCTCAAATGGATATATCTTTTCAGAGTTCATAAACAGCAACATTTTGGAGAAAGCATGTATCTTATTTTTGTTGGCAATTTTAAAAAGTAAAAGTGTGTTTTCGCAAAATAAAAATCATGTACTGTTGTGAAATTCGAGATTCGATACAAAGTACTTAGCAGAAGTTGACGGACAAGACTTTACCAAATGGAACAAAAGATCTGTCGATGTTTGAATAGTTATTTGCAAAATCTGTAATCACCCTCGGTTTTTAATGTTTTGAAAATTAATTAACTTCTTATCAAATACATATAATTTTTCCCAAAATTTATTTCCCATTTTCCAATTGTTTCCTTCAACATACAATCAAATGTAAGAAGAATTGACAAACTGGACTACAGGATGGACAGATATACAAACATCTACGAGGAACATTGTTTACAAACTTATGAATTGGAACGCATGTAGATTCTTGTAGAATTGTTATTTTTAAAGTAAGTCAGACTCGTCACGGTGTTGATGTATGGCTAGTATGGGTCTTGTTATTGATCGATCTTGTAGATGACACATTTTGATATTATTCGACACAACTTAAACTCGGAACTTGATATAAACACGCGGTACTAACTTTGACAGTTAATTTGAATTTCAGACCTACCGGTCGTTTGAAAATTTAGGATTGCGAGTCTCTTACTGCACCGTTTTTCTTCAAACTCGTTCCGGGCAAAGCTTAACAAAAATGCCTTTCTGTTGGTACATTACTTTGCTACAGAGAGTCCTTACTTTCAGCGGCATTTTGGTCCCCAGCTGTTAGAAGGGCTTCTCACAGCCGGGGACCAAAACGCTGCTCAAACGAGGGTCTCTGTACAATAAAGCAATGCACAGACAGAAAGGCAATTTTGTTTTGATTTGAATGTTACAAGTTTGAAGAAAAACGGTGCAATATGAGACTCGCAATCCTTGATTTTCAAATATCCGGTAGGTCAAAAATTCAAATTAACGATTGAAGTTAGTACCGCGTGATAAAAGAGAAAGGAAACAATTTGAAATAAAACAAATAGTTCATTCTATCGACAAGCAGGCCCGTAAGACACTTTTCTCCAAGGGGGGTGCGGTTTTTTAGCTTACTAAAGAGAATATAAAATTGTCAATTTTTTTGCCGCGTAAATCAAATCGCGTAAGTCAGAGGGGGGGGGGGGCTCAGTTACTCCCTATATTGGTTTGGAATTAACAAATGCAACTTCCAAAAGTTCCAATTGTTTTGTGGGGGGTGTGAGGAGTGGTCCACTCCCCCTAGAAAATTTTACAGTTTTGAGATGCTATTTGGTGCTTTCTGGGCACTTTCAAAGTGTAACTTTCCAAGTAGTACGCCACCACCATGAGAATAAGAGATGAGTGAATAAAAAACCGAGTATTCAGGGGGGTGTGGGGGTTCTCCCCCAGGAAAATTTTGAAATTTGGTTGTATTTGGAGCGAATTTGCTGGTACGCCTGTGCGTTATGAGTCAATAAGAAAAATGTGCATTTTTTTCAAATTCTTATGGGGGAGTCAAAGTGGATGAGAAGGTGAAGTGGGGTGTGGTGCCAGTAGGGGAGCAAGGGGTTGTCCCCCAGAAACATTGACCATATCAAGGTGCTATTTGATGATGTCTGGGCACTTAAAAAATGTCTGAGACAATACATGAAATTCAGAATATTTTCTTTTGTTTTGTGGGGGATGTGAGGAGTGGCTAACTCTCCTAGAAAATTTTACAATTTAAAGATGATATTTGGTGCGTCTTGGCACTTTTAAAGTATATTAGTCAATAAAAACATTGAAAAACAATCACAATTTTTTTTAAAATTTTGGGGGTGTCAAAGGGGGGGGGGGGGGGTGCCAGAGGGGGAGGTGGGGCTGGGGTGCCAGAGGGGGGGCAAGTGTTTGTCCCCCATATCAAAATTTACAATATCAAGGTGCTATTCGATGAAGTTTGGGCACTTTAAAAGTGTCTGTGCCTAAAAGTGCCTATTTCCCAAGAAAATTTTACAATTTTAAGTTGCTATTTGGTGCTTTCTGGCTTTTTTTTTGGGGGGGGGGGTGTTAAGGGGGGGGGAGGCTGCCAGAGGGGGAGGTGGAGTGGGGATGCCAGAGGGCGAGTAAGTGTTAGTCTTCCAGAATCGTTAACTTTATCAAGGATGATGATGATGTCTGGGCAATTTAAAAGTGTCTGAGACAGTACATAAAACAAATTCAGAACTTTTCCATTGTTTTGTTTGGGGTGTGAGGGGTGGCCCACTCCCCCTAGAAAATTTTACAATTTTACAACGCTATTTGGTGCTTTCTGGGCACTTTTAAAGTGTATGAGTCAATTAAAGAATTTGAGAAAATCACAATTTTTTTTTGGGGGGGGGGTCAAGGGGGGGGTGCCCGAGGGGGGGGGGGTCTATGCAAGTGCAAGATGCAAGAGGGGGAGCAAGTCCCCCAGAAACACTTACTATATCAAGGAGCTATTTGATGATGTCTGGGCACTTTAAAAGTGTCTGAGACAAAACACTAAAATAAATTTAGAACTTTTCCATTGTTTTGTGGGGGGTGTGAGGGGTTGCCAATACCCCTAGAATATTTTACAATTTTAAGATGCTATTTGGTGCTTTCTGGGTACTTTCAAAGTGTATGAGTCAATGAAAAAAAAATTATAAAAAAAATTTTTTTCAAAAATTTTTTTTTTCAAAATTTTTTTTTCAAATTTATTTTTGGGGGTGACAAAGGGGGGTGCGGTCGCACCCATCGCACCCCCCCATCTGACGGCCCTGACAAGTGAGGTGCATGCCAAGAACGCCTTAATTAAACTTCAATAGCGCCACCTATTGAATCACATTGGCATTTCTACACTATTCCGGAGAACATTTGACTAAACATTGTACATTAGTGACATCTATATCACTCTATATTTCAATGAAAGGGAAAACAACGCCATCATATCTAACACATGATATAGATAATTTAAAATTGGATTATAAGTCAATGATATAACAACTTCTATTATCAGTTCTTATCAACAAAATCG